GGCGGGAGGGAGTGTCAGACTCTTAGTGACTAAAAACCACCCCGTTCCTTCTCCTGCACGTCGAGCCGGAGCCCCGGTAACCCGTTAGGTTCGTCTAGGATTACACGAAACACCAGAATACGTAACTGTAAAAATATTGCAAAAAAATAGCGATGAGATAAAATTATTTCTTTCTAACCGAACTTTTATTGATTCTTCGGTTCGAAGTTCAGGAGGTCACCTACTAATTGATATTTATTTATGATACTACTAGCTAATGCGTCACAAACCACACAAACAAACGCACGTAAGAACAGATTGACATCTCCCTATTCCCCTAATTTTACTTGGCCAAACTAATCAGTGAATGGAGTAGCTACTTGTGTACCATCCCAAGTTCAGCCAAGGTAATCAGGTTAAACTTTCAGAAGTAAACAACAGAATTCCACGTAAAACTGACGTAGAAGGGGAGCCGCCTGCCTAACGTAGTACGTAAACGTGAATCGTCAGAACGTAAATGGAAATAGGAACATTTATGAGTATACGCGGATCGATACAAGGCGGTTTCTTTAAGTATTCATTTGGACGTGTTTTGTGTTATAGAAAATGTTGTGCCAACTAGACGAGGGGGCAACGACTGACACATATTACTTTGTTACAGTTTTATAAAAGTGATGCCTTGTCATGAACTCATGAAATGTCTCGTTTACTTGTTTGTGGGGCTTTGAACACCATACCAGGTTGATGTTCCGTAGGAAACAAAGCTATAAGCCTATTTGTTTCGTTAATTCGATCTAGGTAAATCTTTTTAAGACTTTGCCTGCCAATAAAAAACTGTTGAAGGCAAATCCTCCGCTAACGCCGGTCACCGGTGACCCCCATGGCATTTAACATGTTAATTAAATCAGTAGCCTTGTTACTCGAAACAAAATCCTAATCTTCGGGACTTCGGAGTCTGGTGCGATGATTAGTCTCGAAATACCTTACTTATAAAGAGTATTATACATATGATTATCCATAAGGAGTATTATCTTGATGAGCCACATTAGAAACGTGTTTATAAAGTAAATTCTATATTAAATTCGCGGTCGTGTTATATAAAATGTTTAGGAGCTTCCCTTATAGTTCTCTAAGAAGTCAATAACAAAACTATTGACGACGCGGTAGGTCTGCTGATACAAGTTTACACGATGATAAAATTATCATACTTAGCAATAAAATGCTGGCCAGGCCGTCTAACTTAGGAAGGTTATATTCTTCTCATTCATAAGACGTAGTGAAGATAACAGAGCATCCATGAACCCAGTAATAGCTGACCGCAGCTAATCCAGTCAATGAGTTTCTTCACGTATACAAATTCCAATAGTTAGACTTAATAATCTTAGGTCTTCGTAAAATATAGATGAATGCTTTGATACGAAGGTAAGAATGCCGAGATAGGCCCGTCTGTGGCGGTTTTATGCGAGAGTGTGCTATCTTAACTATGCCGTGCATGATTATTAGAATGCTTGCTTATAGTACAGAGTATCGGACGCCAATCTTTCCGGGTACCAGCGTCGCGGTCGTGAAGGAAGATGGGGAAATAATTTGCGAGTTCTGCGATAATGGGCTAAAATATTGCCTCTACTTGCCCACACGGTGGAATTTTGATTCGATAACCAATCTATTGATGCTGTACGTACAGTATAAGGATTTCCAGTATTCCAGTTAATAAGTGCAAAAAAGTGTGAACACAAACGGAATTGGAACAGGATTTTATCAATAATGAGTTGTTAGTGAACTTGATAAGTCACGTGTAATCATATAAACGGTCCGATTTAAATAATTGTGTGGAGTGCTAATTAGTAACAATAGGCACTTCACACTGTTGCTGCAACTTCACTGATAACACAAGGTCACTAATACGCCAAAACATTTTCTACCTAACTACCTGATAATACAAAATGATTAGCTACACAGAAAGCTGCTCGCTACACAGCACTTGGGAGCCAATGTTTTATTAATTGAATAAATAAATTAAGTAAGTACCTACCGCTGTTATCACTGTTTTAGTTTGATGATAAACCCATATTGACGTGTCTGATAATGCATAGTTTTAGTCATCTATAAATTGTGTAATAAAATAAAGAAGTTATCTAAGTTCATCACACTCGAATTAGACGTGAATATAAAATAGACTAGGGAAGGGTATATGATGGACTGACCTCCTGGATTCAGCAGCGTGGTGGGATGGACGGTGCCGTCCTTGTGCAGCAGCACATGGCGGGGCTCCGTGGCCAGGTAACAGGTGGCCCCTTCCGACATGCACTTCTGGAAGCAGCGCGCCGCCTGGTAGAACAGAGCCCACGCATGCTCCTCGCTGATGGTCGAGTTGAAGGCCTGCAAGATCTGCTGCAGCGTGATGCAGTCGGATGCGTCCAGCGAGAACTCTGTCCCGCCGGGAGCGCCGGCGTTCTCTTTGCGCATCATCACGCCTAACCTGCCGGGCTGCCACTATCCATCGTCGGAACTGAACACAATCACTGCGACACCAATCGATCGCACAGAATTCACCAGTTGATCGTACCACTGAAAATTTTTCACTGTATTCACGTAAATAATTTTTGTAAACTACATAATACGAATGCGTGTTATTGTCACCGTGCTCCCCCCGAAACGTCACTGTCAATTTTCGTTGGCAAGTGGGTGGCGTGAAATTTTTTTTTTGTTATGTTTTGATATTTCGATCGCGTTCGCGCGTGCGCGGCGGTAGTGGCGCCACGTGACACGTGGTGCGGCGACGGAGGCTCGGCGCGGACTGGCGCGCTGCACGCGGGGCTCGCTGGCCGGTCGCGGGCCGCAGCCTCCGCGATAACACGCGCCCTACCCCGGAACCACTTCCTAGTTTCCCAGCTTTTCCTATTTCACAAAGAAACTCTCCGACATTTCAGTCAGGGTAGCAATAAGTAGCTAATATCCGTCTCCATAAATCGGTATCCTAGATAAGTTATCAGCAAGCGATTATATCACAATCACAAACTCGAGATAGGGAAATGAATTCCTTGTAATAAAACAAAAGCAGTCAGTCCAAATAATTTTATTTGAGTATATGCTATGAATATCAACTACACGTATTAAATATTCGTTACACTTTATAAGTAATAATACAAAATTAACTTTTTATTAAAATGTATGAAAATTCAAATAACTATCAATAATAATGTTCGAACATTTCAATAAGCTGCTTTCATAATTAGGTACTAGATACAAAAACTATAAAATTGACAATATTGATATTTGTCGGTGCATGGCTATTGCTATCTCAGTAGTGCGAGGTTCAAATCCGATTGAAAATATCAACATTGTTTAAACTTTTAACAATTACATAGAAATTACGTCATTTAATGTTATTTATATCTAACGTAAAGTAAAACAAGGAATGTAGTATCATTACAAATACTTTGTTGTGCTAAATAATACCAGAGAAACTATTGAAATACATATTATATCTAATTATAAATTCCATAATTGCTCAGAAGATGTATGATGAATATGTCTAATAATTTTCTGACTACAAAGATGATACAAAATCAGTTCTTCTATTATATAATCAATCTCTAAAATCTTTAAGAGCCTAATGCCGGAATACTGAAACGTTACTCAATTTTAAGTCGTGCTCAAATACCGTGCCATCTCTGTCATTTTACAAAGAATTTGTAGAGATAGAACTATACTTAAGCACGACTTAAAATTGAGTAGCGTGTCAGTGTTCCGACATAAAAGTTTTATTTTTCATGGCACACGACAGATAAGAAAATAACACGTGCGTCAACCAACATAAGGTACAGAAATAATTCAAGTAAAGGTCTTTTGCCAAAGAACAAAAAAAAAGTAAATGTCTTTTTCTATACGTAAACTTATTATGAAAAATACTTAAAAATTGCACCTTAAACCTTTAACATCACCAATCATCGTCACAATAATAATTGTAAATGTAACAACGACGGATTCGTTTCTGCAATTGAAAACGTTGATCTACTTAAGTTTTTCAAATTTATGAAAACAGTGACCCTTTTCAAATAAACTTAAGATTTTATAGTCTATATATCAACATAATTAATTAGATAATACAGCTTACTCATGTAACTATTGGCTACCCGACGTCGGATGATCTGATAACGTTTATGAACCCCGGTCGCAACTTGAAATTAGTCGAGCAAGCTCGAACAGTTACGTGGGTAAGCCGTATTATCTGATTAATTTAAATAGTAAGATTGTATTCAAGAAATACATAATACAAAGCCCTTTCTAATACAATAAAATAATACTTTTCGGAAATTCGGTAAAATTGAGACAATATCGCAGTTTGTATATTCAGATACATAAGCATACATAAACACGTTTAAGTCTGTTTATACAATATATTAACAGGGTTTTTACATAATTTCTTTTTAATATCTACTCCACTGATAATCAATTAAAAATTTATGTTGATATCTTTAATCCTTGGAAAGAACTGAAAATCTTTTGATTTATTCATTTTATCGATTTGCGGTACAAACTCCATACATTATAATCGCGATATGCTAATGTCAAATTAAATGCGAATTACAATAAAACTTTATCTACAGAATAATATAAAATAAATAATAATTAAGGAATTACTTTATGTTATAACCTTTATGTATAAACCTATTTCATAAGATGAATATCTAACTACAATTTGAATATTCTATTTCGTCATTTGAGACACAACGGGTTAATTTTATACGAACCACGCAATAGCATTAAATCTAAAATAACGTTTCAAAAACAATCGGCACTTCGTGTTTAAGAAAGAGAATCACAAATACTATAATTTTGTCCAATGCTCTATCTATTTACTGCAGGGGTACTCAACCTTACTTTATCAGGGGCCGCAAGACAAGCAACTTTTCTTTTCAATACAGCGTGAGATCCAAACTGCGGTCCGAAAGTTGAGTATCACTGACTCCTGACGTCATAAACCACTAAATCGTTTGAAACGACTAAAGGACAGCACCTCACTTCTTTTTGAGACTCCAGAGTGGGTCGAGGAAGTTGAGAGGATCCTTCATATCTCCACTCTTCAACCCTGGGGATTGTTTCATCTCTTCGAAGGATTCGCGGGAGAATTTCGTTGTTTTTTGGCTAGCAGTGGAAGCGTTTGTTGGTGTCGGAGTTACTGGGGGTAGCACTGCCGCTCCTGATGGTAGGGACACCGCCTCGCCGTTGAACATTGTTGTACCTTTGGGATAGAAAAGAATCAGCTTAGAAAAGATTCTGTTTAACAGATTGCATAGACAGTATAACGCTAACTCTAGGGCAAAAACAAATCCGTGGATGATTGTCCGATTAGCGCCATCTAGTGATAACTGAAATAAAAACTCATTCAGGAATATTGATTGATTGGGTATGTTGAACTTTGTTACAAGCAGCAGTATTAACAAATGACTTAAGTTTTTTTTAATTTTTTTAATTACATTTCACGACGATTGGTTGAATCGATAAGCGTAGTACTTAGAGGTAAAACAAACAAACAAAATTACTCTCGCATTTATGGATAAGATTTAAAAGGTTAATTATATTATCATATTTATGCCTCTATATACTTCTATTTAGATTTTAGTCTATTTACGCGATCAATAATATCCTATCGATTAACACTGGGAAAACTACTAATGTCTATTTTTAGATTATATTATCGTTACTTGTAATCACGTAAACGTTTGATAAATAAATAATAATGAATCATACCTACAGATTAATTACTGTTAATGATAATGAACATGTTTATTTGTTTGTCTGCCCCGTGGTTGATTGTGACTCGGGGAAGGGATCAAGGATTTCATTTCCGTGTCGGTTTAACTGTGACTAGGTCTATACTACCACAAAAAATCTTCCTAAATAAACCATGGTCTTGATGACCCTAACCAAACAAAATTATTTTTTAAGCACAGGATTTTAAATTCAAATTCATTTAATCGTTTGCAAACATGGGTACATAATATAAGTATTAACAAAATATAGTTTCTCCATATTTTGCCTTCACTTGGCATGCAAAGATATGTTATAAAAAGGTTTATTATTAGGTAGAGCGAAATTCTAGAATTCCTACCTATGTTTGCCATTCCTTTTTATGACAATAGAACGAATTAAAGTTTCTTTGGGTATTTCGTATATGCCCCTCTGCTTATCCCTTTATGAAATAAACTGCGTGATTACATTTTTGAACATAAAAAAGTGCATTTAATACTTTCTTAATAATCAATATTATCTCGTGCGTCACCCAGCTTGACTTGGCTTAAAGTTTGAAGATCTGATCAGTAGATAATATTAGGGTTGGGCAGAATGATTAACTTATATGCAATAACTTGATATTGAACACAGTTTGTGTTTTTGTTTATTTATTTTGTCTAAGAAATCGTGATATCATCACACTAACATTATAAATGTGATAGTTTCTTTGTTTGGATGTTTATCCGTCAATCACGCTGAAACTACTGAACGAATTTTGATGACATTTGATATACAGGCAGGGCATGGGCTGACTTAGGTGATAGGATACTTTTTATCCCGATTAAATTCTCCCATGAGATAAAACAGGAATCATATTCTACGCGGACGAAGTCGCGGGCAACAGCAAGTTATCAATATTTATTAATGTGGCCCCGTTAAATATTATTCTACTGTGTCGTGAGTGTGCTTACAAACATGGTAAATCCTATACACATTATACCTAAACCCGGAAGAACAATATGTAGATCACACAAGTAAATCAAAAATAAATTATTTCGACTGTTCAATAAAATAAAACATTAAAAAAAACACTTTCATTAATTGGTTTTATGACCAAATTAATTTTAGTATTTTTCCAGAAAATTTTTAAGAAATAAGTATACAGTTTGACGCAAAAAAAAGTGGAGTTATACAATCTCGTACAAAATCATAGAAAACTGTCGTTTTTGTGAGTTCGAAAAAAGTATTGAATTTGACTAGGCAAGTACCGAATCATGCGGGAATCAAAATACATTGCGCAGCAGCCAGTTGCAAGTAGTATAAATATTTCTGAATTTGTAAATACACTTTAAGTAGTGAGATTTTAAAAAAGGTAACAGTTCTTTACATTTTGTATATCATACTTGTTAAGAAATATTTCTTAGATAAAAACGTAGAGGAGGAAAATATTGAAAACAAATTACTAAGTATTATCATGTTTTCTCGAAGAACTACTTCACTACCAAGTAATGCAATTACCCAAAGCCACTTCTACTGTTTATTTATATTATTATATTAAACACTTCATGTAAAGTAAATGTATATTTAATTTAATATATTTTTTCACAATTTACCCAGTAATAATAAAAGTATGAGTAAAAAAGAGAACTAACTGCTAACTGCTTTCTGTTTCGGAGATATACTTTAACGAAAGGAGGTTGACAAAAAGCACTGATGGAATGATGGACATCAAAGTATCAGTTTAACCTATACTTTGCAGCCGAAATTAGCATTTTCTTGGAAGACGGAATTCTAGTCTTTTTTTTTAAGGGGGGAAAATCATCGAATGACTGCTCCCGCCTGGGTGAGGCGGGAGGAAGTGTCAGACTCTTACTGACTAAAAATCACCCCGTTCCTTCTCCTGCACGTCGAGCCGGAGCCCCGGTTACCCTTTAGGTTCTCCGCGACTCCGAATCGGCATCGGCCCTATTGGGCCCCATCCGTGGTGGTCTGATGGCTCTTTGAGGCGCGCATTCTAGTCTTGTTGTATCTACTGGGGAATATTTGACGCACAACTAGATGATGCAAAAAATATTGCTAAACATATTGAAAGTCGAAGACACCGGAACAATCAACATCTTGCGTATTATATGGTAATGTTGCGCAGATGTCTATGCCAATCTATGGAAATCTTACCAATTGGAGACATCATCATTATTTAAATTGAATTGACTCACCAGAACAGAGAACACCCTGTACGTAGAATAAAGCAGTTCTGTACGCATCCGCCAGGTACTTGGTGTCTTCCAACACGTTGCTCCTGTGGTTGTACAGGTTCAAGCAGCCCGCGTCTAACATATCTGGGGATATATATTTTTATTAGTTTTCTATCTCTGATTCTGCAGTTGATCTATAACTGACGAATAATTAGATTTTAGGTATGTTGAATAATGTGTCAAAGAAGTACTTAAAAGGAATAGAAGTGAATGGGCAAATAGTTCCAAATCACTTTCTGCTGGAACACATCCTGGCTAAATAACTACCTCACCTTCCTTCGCAATACAAATTACAGATTCTACGAGTGCATTCGTCCACACTACTATAAAAGAATGCACTGTATTATTCCATACTTTGTGCCTTATTCCCCATTCAGTAGTTTTTGCGTGAAGAAGTAACATTAATAGGACGTAGGATAGAATAGAATTCAGGATAGAAACTATCACATCATCACTCACCACAGAGTTCCAGTTGGCCAGCTCTGACTTGGCACATGGCCATAATAAGCAGCGCTAGTACAGCGCTCCGTCCGGCCCCCGCCCCGCACTGTAACCACCCCCCACACAACTGGTTCGACAGCTTGTTGTCGTACGTCTGGCTTAGGATCTTATCTGCTAACAGTACCAGGGGGGAGCAAACGATCCTGTGGAAAGAAATATTAGTTCAAGGTTTTGTTTATGGAATACACTGGTAAATGAGCACACGCATTGTCAGATGGTAAGCTCAAGTAGCAACACCGATGCGAGCGCCAACGCTGGCCAGTGGGCTGCATGACATCGCCACGACCGCGCACGCTGCTCATGCGGACGAAACTAATAGAGCTTTTCTCAGTATATTTACGTGAGTAACTCGTGATTTTTAATTTAGATGGTAAGCTATCGGCGCCGCCCAAGGACAATCGTAACACCGGATGAGTTACAAATATGTTGCCGACCTTTTAGGAATTGGGGATCTAAGGATTGAGAATGTGGTGGGAACCTCACTGATACGGGGAAACACAAAGCAAGCGTTGTTTCACGCCAATATGCATCGCATTTGCTACTCTTCTGGTGCGCAGAATTTATGTCCATTTGTTATCCAGAATAATTGTTATTGATATTGGGCAGCGACGATTGTTAATCGCTTACTCTTACGCTACTTACTCCATAACCCTTAAAAATGTATAAAATACTCACTTAGCAGGCCACACATTGATCTGATAATGAGTGACATTAAGTACAGTCTTCCCGCTGGCGACGGTCAGTTTCCTCTCCGTCCAGTGCACGGTGCACGTCACCTCGTCCAATGTCACCTTCAGACCTGATAGCTCCAGGGATTGGCCTTTAGCTGTTGGCCAGTAGGTCTTGCCTTGCATCTGGTAAAGTATCGGTAATTTAGTAAAGATAGAAACATTAAGGTATATCGTGGGGTCCAAAGGGTCGCATGCAGCATCCGTACGGCCTCCACGTCGAACGAAAAAACATGCAAACGTATAACTACCTCATTTTTAAATTCGTATTAATATTAAAAAAACGGTCCTCACCTCGATTTCACTCAACAAACAAGCAATACAGCTAATTTTATTCTCTAGTACTGCTTTCCAGAAGATACCGTATTCAGACTCGGTCGGGTTCTTTGATATCACTAGTGGAATGCACCATGAGGCTAGTTGCTGTAACAAACGCACACATATAAACTTTAAAACCGACCTCATTTTAGATACCTCACCTAAATGTAAACTGCAGTCTGTCACCGGTGACCGCTCTCCACTTACGTCCAGTTTCTATAACCTATCTATCTGTAGATTTGCTTACTAGAGATATAATTTTGACATGAGCTCCATACAAAATGTGTCAAAATTCTATCTCTAGTAAGCAAATCTACAGATAGATAGGTTATAGAAACTGGACGTTACTCTATTATAGACCTTATTTGTGACTAGCTAGTTTTGCTTCGCTCTGCTCGGCGCCTATTAATCGTAGCGTGATATTTTATAGCCTATAGCCTTCCTCGACAAATGGGCTTTCCAACACAGAAAGAAATTTTCAAATCGGACCAGTAGTTTCGGAGATTAGCGCGTTCAAACGAACAAACAAAAAAACAAACTCTTCAGCTTTATAATATTAGCATAGATGTTTAGAGAATACTTTTGTATGAATAAATGTTGTGGATTTTTCGTAATCGTGGATTTACAAGGAGAGTTAAGTGGTTTTAGTATGTGGCTGTCGCTGTAATGAGGTAGTATAAAATAGTGCAACAACTCTCGTGAAGCATATTAAATTTATTATTGTTTAGTTCATGACGTAACTGTTTGACGAGGTAGCTCTACTAATTTCCAGCCACGACAGGGGCTCATAGCACAATCATAACACAAAAAACAGACGTTACGTAAAAAGAATTAAATAATGTGTTATCTTTATATATATAATTCTTCTGTGAGTGTGTATGTCACTGAACTTCTCTCAAACGACTGGACCGATTTTGATGAAATTTTTTGTGTGTGTTCAATGGGATCTGGGAATAGTTTAGATGCACAAATCAGCCCGGCAGATGGCGCTGCAGTCGGTGTCTAGGTTAGTTATCCTAAACGGCTAAACTAATTTGAGTGAATTTTTGTTTATACATTCAAGTGGATATGCAGGACAACGTCTGTCGGGTCCGCTAGTGTTATATAATAATTGTCTCACCTTATAATAAGAGGCGTTGATAAAGGCGTCGGGATCAGACTTGAGCGTGAGCCGGGAGTCATCAAACGGCACAACTTCCGTCACTATGTTGCCGTTAGTGTACTGCATCGCTATCGTCTTGGACCTCGTCATGTTCTGCTTTGTCTAAAATATTAACAATTATTAAATAATAGTTTATTGGGAAGTCACCCAAGCATATAACGTTAGTATTGAATGTTTTTAATTAAGAATCGTGACATATTGAAGATTTTTTTCTAATTATTTTGAAAGAAGACTATAGTTCTCGCCTGTTTAGCATAGATACGACTCCTGACTCTAGAAAAGGATTTGGTAAGAATTATGTGTCAAAAACATTCCAAAGCCAAATTGAAAAAAAAATAATTTCAATCCCTCGTTATACATGAAGGAGTAAATAAACATAAATTTACATATAACTTATTAGTATTTGTATTAGACATTAAAATGAAAAAATGGTAAAGGAGGTAAATGTTTAAAAAACCAGAAGTTATTAGAAAATTTCACATTAATGACTAGATTAAACATGAAGTCCCAAGTAATATGAGCAAAGCAAAGAAAAATCCCACAAAAGCTTGCACCCTAAAATGATGACAGCAAAACAAGGAAACAAAAACTAGAAGCTTTACTTACCTGGAAATCTTGGAAGGACTTCCATTTAGCATCCAACACAGTCAAACCACTCGGCGACTTATCAGTCAAAGAATCAGTCAATTTCTGCAAATTCTTCACTTCCTGAGTAAACTTGTTCAACAAACTAGGGTCGGAGAACAGGTCCCTTTTTGCAGGTCTTTCAATAACCTCTTCCTTTATTGGCACCTTCTTCTCAGGCTCGACTTTAGGAGCTACAGGCTTCCGAATAGCACTTTCAGATATCTGCGGGACCTTGATCTCCGGCATTAAAGGAGTTTGTTCTACTGTAAAATCTATATCGGACAACAGATCGAAGGCTGTCAACTCAGATTTGACCTCTGGAGTCTTATGAACTTCAACTGCAGCCTTCTCCGGTACCTTCTGTTCGTCACTCGTAGCTTCACTATCTACGTTAGTATTACTCTCTAACTTTTGCTCATTTACACTGTGATTCTCTGTCGACACTGCAATGGTTAATGAAATTCCTTTTTACTTGAAATCCGTTTATTCCACAAAATAAATATTACAATAGTCTTTGGTACAAATTACTCATAAAAGCTTACCTTGACTGTTATTGTACGGGACGTGGTGGTCTTGTGGAGACTGCATGTATCCTGTCTGGCTGGTGTTAGGGGCCACGTATCCTGGTTGGCTAGTGTTGGGTGTCATGTACCCAGCCTGGCTGTTGGTGCTGGTGTTAGACGGCACGTATTGTACTTGGTTCGTATGGCTTGCTACATACTCAGTCTGGTTTGTATTGCTCGCAGTGTACCCCGACTGGTTAGTGTGTGACGTCACGTATCCCGCCTGGTTCACGTTCGGTACGTAGTTGTTGGCGAGCTGAAGGTCTGACGGCTCCTGAGAAGGTGTAGTGGCTGCCTGGTACCCGTAAGCACTGTTGTAGTATATCTGAGAGTCAATAGACTGCTGCGCAGGCAATTGCTGTTGAGTGGGCACTTGATGTTGTCCAGGCATTTGTTGCTGCCCGGGCAATTGTTGCTGCGCGGGTATTTGTTGTTGCCCAGGAACTTGTTGCTGTCCAGGTACTTGTTGTTGCCCGGGCAATTGGTGCTGTCCAGGCACTTGTTGCTGTCCGGGTACTTGTTGCTGTCCGGGTACTTGTTGCTGCCCGGGCAATTGCTGCTGCCCGGGAATTTGGTGCTGTGAAGGCATTTGATGCTGCGAAGGCATTTGTTGCTGTGCGGGCATCTGTGGCACTATCTGTGAGCTATCAGTAGGAGACTGTACAGTTTCACATGTCCCAATCTTCCCAGCGCTAGTGTATATAGCTTGTTGGCTCCAACCCTGGTCCTTCTCCGCCGGCTGATAGTTAGCACTGTCTGGCACAGTGTTATCAAAGCCAGAAAAAGAGTTTTGTGATCCAAAATTGTACTCATAGTTTCCAGTAGCAGAGTTGAAGTTATAGCCCGGATGGTTCTGGAAAGACTGCGCATAGCTGGGGTTTGTTTGATCAACATAGCCATAAGTACTGGTTGGATGATATGGCTCAGGTTGGCTAGAGTAATTGGTAGTGGTGGAGCTATAGTTCTGGTACGATGGTTGGAAGCTAGAGTTGGAGAGAGCTTCGCCTGTCGTGTGAGACTTTATCGGTTTGTCGAAGGCGTCCAACTGAGATAGAGCTGGGTTGTAGGTGGAGTCCACTTCGGTTGGGTATGAGTATGGATGCTGGCTGGAGTTGGCGATGCTGGAGGTGGTGGAAGTGATGGCGTTTGTGTACGTGTAGCCCTGGGACGTGGACGCGAATGTACTAGAGTAGTTGTAGCTAGTGTCCGCTGACGTAAACGGGACCTGCTGGCTGTACTGAGTGGACTCGTTACTGTAAGGATAATTCAGGGAACTGTACTCAGAATTGATCTGTGACTGAGTGAGGCTCGTATTAGAGTTCTGCGGCGCACTGGTGTAGGCAGCGGAGCCCGGTGTCGATACATTAGGGTACTGCACACTGTAGAACGTCTGTGTGTAATCCGCGCCATACTCTGGTTCAGACTTTACCTGCATTTGTGCAAAGTTCGTGATAATGTCGGTTTGGTTCCCCGAGCTGTAGGCGGAGGCGGCTGAGAGAGACGACTCTGGTATAGGACCCATTGGGTTTATATAGGGCTCGTAACCTTGGTTGGGAACATTGTGACTCACATTGGAGAAGTTTTGCGAGTCTGTGACAGCTGTGTTATTGTGCTGACCGTAAGAATTGGAGTAGTAAGGGTTCGAGTATATTTGTTGCTCTGAGGAATTAGCTGAAAATTGTGATGGTGTGTATGCTGTGTATCCGTAGTTATGGTCTTCTTGTGGTTTCTCAAACTTGCTGGTGGCTGGGAATAGGTAGGTTGAGGGGATAGCGTACGGGTCTGTGTCTGTCGGACCGTACAAGTACCGGTCGTACGGACTGGGCACGGCCTGTAGTTGTGGCATTACCACCCCGTCTGGTAATTGCATCTGACTTGCGTCTGTGGCTGGAACAAATAGGGATTGATTACTTCCTGGAGTAAATCGTTCAACACATTTTATATACTTCTATCAGTAGTTACACAGTTTACGGTCACCTTAGCCTAATTATTTATTTTATTTATTTATTTATTTACACTTTTTGTATATATACAATGGCGGACTTAATGCCTAGTGGCATTCTCTAACAGTTTTAGCCAAATACCTCACAGTCATATACTGTTACTAACTCTTATTTCCTAGGTCATAAGGTGTATTTTCTAAGTGTAACTTTGAATAATGTACGTAAAATTACAGTATTTAGTACACCACTCTTACAAGAGCTACATCGCTTTATTAAATATTGTTTTTTGTATTTTTGTACATGTTTTTATTTTCGATAATTATAATTATAATTATAGATTATATCGATGTGTTTACATACCTTCGGAGCCAACGGGTGTAGGTCTTACGGAAGTAGGATATATGCTGTCAGGGTAGTAAGAATCTAAGGGAATGGGGTCCACGGGTGCTGTAATATAAAATTATAATTATTATACAATCGAGCTTATATTTAGTTGAAGTGATTGATAGTCTTTTTTACTAATCATTTTTATGACTATTGCCGTAAAATAAGTAGGATAACATAGTTATATGCAGGCAATATGCTTGAAATTTGTTTTAAATTGAACTATCCAATAAAAATTTCAGATGGGACAAAACTTGTGATCCGTGTTTTAACCCGGTTAACGACCAGTAACTGGGTGGTCAGTGGAAGATTTGCCTTTAGCCGTATTTAAGGTTTTTTAAAGGATTAGTATAAAGTAATAATGCTGACCTTGTGGTGTAGCAGTCCGGCCGGCCCTGTTCTTCATGTAGGGCAGGTAGTCTTTAAGCTTCCGGCCGCCGCCCGCAGGCGCCGCGCCCGCCGCCGCCGGCGCCGGGGACGACTCGGGGACGTGGACTGATGACGGACTCGACGCGGGGGTCGGGGTCGATGCTGTACGTCATTTTAAATTATTCATAATTGTTCAATGTCAAGTCGATTTTAAAAGTAACAAAACAAAAATGCGTTTCACTGTTTTTAAATTAATTATTGGTTATATGGCTACTGCGAAACGTAACAACGGAAACGACTCTGTGATTCATAAATTGTTTTCATGAGATGTGAATAAGACATTGTAAGTTTATAAACGCACCAACGACACTGGAGAAAAATGAGACCTAGGAAAAAATCAATTTTCCATCCAGGATTTTGTCCAGTGTCGTTGCTACGATTAAAACAAAAAACTAACATCAAATAGCTAAGTTGACTATGATGTTTGTTTATATGGGGTAACCCGGTAAACGAGCAGACGAATCACCTGATGTTAAGCAATCGGCGAATTTGCGGATTATTGGGGATAGGGAAGATTGGGGAGGGGGTAATTGAGCCTCCGTAAACCTCTCTCACACGACGAAACACAACGCAAGTGTTGTTTCACGTCGGTTTTCTGCTCGGCCGCCGTGGTAGCTTACAAAATTTCCTACAAACAAGTAGCTTACAAAAGTAATGACGTAATAGTTAGTTACCCTTCTCATTGGCGGCATTGACAAGTTGTTGCCTCTCCTCGCCCTGTACCTGCGCGATGGCCCGCAGCCTGGTCAGTAGCGCGGTCACGTTGTGCGACAACTTCTTGTAGAACTCCAACCCTTTGGTCGACTTGCCCAGCAACTCCGTGTACGAATCGTACGATGTTATCAGAGCTGGAACAATATTTTAATATGAACTGAGTTTTGTTCTGGTAAGGTTAAAATACTTCATAAGTTGAACCTGAACGACATCATAACGAGGGGTAACGGACTATTTGTTTTAAGCGACATTTTGGGCGATATTAAGTTATTATAATATAATATTCGACGGAGAAAAATTCGCTGATTCCGAATATATATATCGAGGGGTAACGGGCTATTTGGTTTAAGCGACATTTTTGCAACTTTACAGGAGAGCCTTTTAAAGTTTGAAATTTCGAAAAAAAATTCGTAACAAAAACGCTTCTGCAGTTATTTGAACGGGGTAAATTGCATTGAAATTTAAATTAAATTATCTAGTTGCTGATGCTAATTCTAAATAAAGCGGACCTTTAATTACAAAGATAAATGTCGCTTAATACAATCTTCTTTTTTTTAGAGTCAGGAAAAATGATTTAAGTGACTTCATAACTACAATTGGCTACAAGGGAAAAAAATTAAGCGACAATGCACTTTATTTACAGAGTAAGCTAAAAAATATGAAGTGACGAAACCCAAAATTAATAGAAGCAAGCTATTTATCTTAACTACCAATTCAGACTAAAATGAGTGACAGGCTAATTTACTTATGTGACATATAACATTGAAATTATAACGTTTAATGTTTATGTTTATTTAGATCTAAGGCGATTAATGGCTGATAAAACAACCTGGATATATAGCAATCACCGAAAATCTCAGATGCTTACATTGAATAAATAAACACAACACAATATCAAAGTATTTATTTAGAGTAATAATTACAGTTTCAATAGGAATATCGATTATATTTCAGCAAAATCAATTAAATTAATGGGACATTTACTGAAATTGCCGTTTTGTATGAAAAAATTTTAACGATTTTTTCATGTATTTTTTATTTGTATAATCAACGTAATCACCCATGCAATCAATGCATCGTTGCCAACGCAGTGGCAGTTTATTGATGCCAGCTGGACGGGTAGCAACAAATTCTTCAAATGCATTTTGTACTGCCTCTCGGTTATTAAATTTTTTCCCGCCAAGAAGTTATCCAAATTCTGGAAGAAGAAGTAGTCTGGTGACTGGTGAGCAGGGTGGATGTCGGAGAGCTTCACAACCCCAGTTCTTGTAACGTGGAGGCCGTCTCTTGTGCAGCTTTAGGTCGCGCGTTGTAATGCAGGAGCAATGGAGATTAGCGATTGACCAATGCTGGTTGGAGATGTGTCAGCTTCTCCATCATTGTGTTCAGTTCTTCACACTACACATCCGTAGTAATGCTCACTCCGTTTGGTAAGAATTTGTGATGAATAAGAATAGCGCGAGCCCTAGACCATCAGTGACCATCACTTTTCTAGGGGTAAGTTTTCGTTTAGGGCATTGTTTAGGTGCTGAACTAGGATTCAACCAACATGCCAAACGCGTGTGGTTATCACACAGATTTCATTTTTCATCGGAGGTGACAATGCAAATCAAAATTCTTTCATTTGTGTGTATATTGAGCAGTGCAGTGCAAGGCACTACTCGATGCATTTTTTTTTAAGGGTGGAAAATCATCGAATGACTGCTCCCGCCTGGGTGAGGCGGGAAAGAGTGTCAGACTCTTACTGACTAAAAATCACCCCGTTTCTTCTCCTGCACGTCGAGCCGGAGCCCCGCTTACCCGTTAGGTTCTCCGCGACTCCGAATCGGCATCGACCCTGTTGGGCCCCATCTGTGGTGGTCTGATGGCTCTTTGAGGCGCGCGCGGAACGCGACGCTCCGTACGCTCGGGTCTGTTTCTGGTCGGACGGGGAGCCACCCATGTTCACCATCCGCAGGCCCGCGCTTACGGTAGCTGGAGATCGTCCCGCGATCCCCGACGCCAGGTGTATCCTTCGCGATGGCTGGGTTGCGAGGAGCCAGCGCTTCGCTGCCTCACGCGTCCCGCCTCCTCCTTAGCTAGCATAACTGCTTCGCAAAAGGAGGAGATAGCATCCCAGTCCCCCTCGCACTGCTCGATGCATACTTAGCTCTGTTGATCATTTAGTTTGTGGGACACCTACTTATGAAGCTTTTTTACCTTGCCAATTTGACGCAAATGTACCAATATTGTTTTGACGCTAACGTCGAAAGCTGTTGCTAAATCAGCCGTAGATTGTATATCATCAAGCTCCACAATAGCCCTTAAATTGTCATTGTTGTCAAAGTTCATCTTGAAATTAAAGTACTTAGGATTCAATTTCGATGAGCGTTTTACGTAAACACTGGCGGTGTGCGCGCGTCCCGTCTGTCTTCGGCGCACTCTGGAGTGACTGAAGCGCCAGCGCACGATAGTCCAGTTGGATAATAACGATTTTTAACACCAGGGCGATGAAATAAATATGGTATCATATGACATGATTGAAATGTACCATATTAAAACTTAGTGATTGAAAGACCGACTCGTATTTCTATGAATACTGGAAAAATGTTTCAATATTCATTATCAATGTTATCGTCTGTATAAAACGACATGCATTTAAAAAAAAATGAGGGTTAAATGGTTTATGACTAAACAAAATATCTAAACGAAAACAACTATTTGGTTTAAGTAGCACCCTGCGTAGAAAATAGAGGCAGCTAGAAATGTTTAAGAGACGTACCATAACGCATTTGGATGACGGACAAATGTTTTAAGCGACATCACACCGTGTGATTAGTGGGAAGTCAAAATGATTCAAGTTACTTGTTAATAAAAATTAGAAACAAGAAAAACGCTTTAACTCATGTTGACTTAATAATTAGAGATAGGGTGACTGGTTTATGTTTCGGTTATTAATATGATGGTATGGTTCAAGTACATAATTTAATAAAAAATGCGAAATCCATGTCGTTTAATACACTGCCACCTTGGAAACAACATGAAAATAGAATTGTTTGAAACGCCAAAAAAGTGCTCCGATTTTAATGAAACCGGCATCATTCGACGGAGAAAAATTCGCTGATTCCGAATATATATATAACTCAATATCGCCCAAAATGTCGCTTAAACCAAATAGCCCGTTACCCCTCGATATATAACTCAATATCGACCAAAATGTCGCTTAAACCAAATAGTCCGTTACCCCTCGATAAGTCCTTCCTAATAGACCTTTTTGAAGGTAATGTCAGTTTGAATGAGAAAGTATTTTAATGTTGTCACATAAATCAAAGCTTGAAGTCAAAGTCGTGACGGATTGGCTATTTCTTACTACTAATCAGTTTAGATTTCCTCTTATGTGTCTTAACCTATTGAAATTTATCCCCTAAATTTGTTCATACAAAAGTAGTCTCTAAACATTGGAAATAAGGTCTATAATGTAGTTAGTGGAGAGCAGTCACCCGTGACCGCTTGGGGATATATGGCATAAATAGGACACAAAAATGATAAAGTCACTTATTTCACACCCTCATTTCGTCTCTAAATCATCAGGCCACTAGAAAATTAGATTTTTATAACTATCTATCTACATTGAAACAGTAATCACTTACCATTAATAAGTCCCTCTCGTTTCCTCAGTACATCGGACAGCAATCGCCTGGAGTCTCCGTACGCCGCATATACAGACGTCAGTTTGTTTATTATATTCTCCTGAGCTGCTAGGTTAGCCTCTATTATTTGGACCTACAAAAACATAATCAATTTTAGTCCCTATTACGATAGTGTTAGACTTATTATAGTTTTTCGTATTTTGTATAAACTCAGGGTACAAATAGTTTTAGACCTTATTGGATTGTTAATAATTTTTAACAACTTTAACGCAACGTGTTACAGTTTATATTTCAATGACATCAAAGTCCGTTATAAGTCATTATTGACAACATTGAAATGTTGATCGTCAGGGTCAAGAGTGGACTCTACAGCACCACAAATCCTTATCCTTACTAATATTATAAATCGGAAAGTGAGTTTGTTTGTTTGTTCCACTTTCGCGCCGTAACTACTAAACCGATTGCTTTGAATTTTTGCAGACGTGAAGTTAGAAGTCTGGATTAAATAATAGGGTACTTTTTATCCCGGAAAAATTTGATATCCTCGAGGGAAAACGAAATTATTGGTATAGATGGCGCTGTGTGTATTGGTATATGTCACATAGGCTACTTTTTATCCTTTTGTGACGCGAGCGAAGCCGCGGGTAAAAGCTAGTACAGTATAATTTCCCACACTAACCGTAGGCGTATGTTTCTTGAGCTCCTGTTTGAATATCTCCTCCTTGGGCTCGTTGTTCCTGGCGAGCAGTTGCGAGGTGATGTCGTCGTTGGTGACTGCCTCCCGCAGTTGTTGGACGAGCGAGTCGCGCTGTGTTTGCATCTCACGGACTTTGCCCACCACGCGGCGCATCTCCGCCATCGTCTCGCGGTCCAGACCCACTGGAGGAGAGAAAGATGATTTTAGTAAAATACAAATTCGAAAATATTATTTGATGTGTATTAAGCCATATTATTGAAAAGATCTCTACAAGCAATAGTAAGCCCATAATAAATAATTTTTACTTTTTGTTATGCAAAATTTGTATTAACATGCAACATTTTTGATGACTTAACTTCTTTTCAAGCCTATGATTATGGTACTCCCCCCCCCTCCCTAAAGGGGAGTAAATTATCCTTTAAGAAGGGGCGTGCTTTTTAGCGCTATTACTTGGCGCTCACAATATAAGTAGTTGTTACATTACTTACTACGTTTGGTGTTTACCTTTAAGTGATTGTAACACTAAAGTATCTATCTATGGCATGAAACCTAATATTTGATCTAGTGTGTACAATTGTTGGTGAACCAATAAAAAAAAATTATGTACCTCTGCCCACCCCTTCGAGGATTATATGATAACAATATGTTATGCAGTATATTATTTACTTATACCCTACTTATATTGTATGCCCAAGTGAGTGAGTAGTGTGTGCGCACCGATGTTGTCGATGCTGGGTATCCTGGCGGCGAGCGCGTCGAGCGGCAGTGCCAGCAGGCGCAGGTTGGCGATGTGCAGCGTCATGGCCTTGTGCAGCACCAGGTTGCTGTCCGTGCTGCGCGCGTGCGCCTCACCGTACTTGGCCGCCTCGCGGGACAGCTCCGTCTGGATGATGGACGGCGGCCGGGGACCCGTCACCTTCTGGAACTCCTTCTCTTTTGTTATCTCCTCCTGAAAATAAATGTGTGTGAAAAAAATCATTTCTTAAGGTTGTCTAAAGATCTGTTGAATGGACAATATCGTTAAAATCTAATGTATGAGAAATACACCAAACCAAGAAATATGGCTGAAAATGCCTGCAGTAAGCAAAACCTGAACTCATCCATGTAGGTTGTCTAACAAAATAATAATATAAATTTTATAAGGTGTCACACAAAATAACCCAACTTGTAAAAGGACCAATAAATTCCTTACTGCTTACGAAATAAAGACGATATCACTGTCTACACAAATGTTTACATGACATTACCTGTATAATTTCTTTGATTTCGCTCAAGGCTTCCTCGACATCGCTAATGACTTCAGCGAGGTTGTTCATTGAATCCACCAACGTCTGAATGATCTCAGACTTGGCGTTCATAGCTGCGCAGCGGTCCACGATCTCTTGTGGCACTCTGGAATACAATAAGTAGATTAATAGTGATACCAATTTAATCCATTTATAACTTATTTGCTATTGCATTTAGATGATTTTTTTTAAGTAAGGCTTTCAGAAGAATTAAACCAAGATTAATGTCGGAATACTCAAACGCAACTCAATTTTAAGTCGCCCTTAAGCATAGTTCTGTCTCTACAAATTCTCTGTAAAATGACAGAGACAGCATAATATTTAAGCACGTCTTAAAATTGAGTAACGTTTCAGTATTCCAGCATTAGAAAATCAAATAAAATCACAGATTTTATAATCAATTAGACAATAATGCTGAAGATTGAGATCATTGAACTTTAAAATTGCCCTCCATTTAAAGTAAACAATTACATTACATACAACCATAGGACATTTTTTTAAATTTCTAATCAATCTATCAAATCAAAATCATAAAACAATAACTCACTTCTGAACAGAATCGATGACATCCAACTGGTCTAGTTGCAACGAGGACATGAACTCAGTAAGCTCAGTGTTCTTGGCCTCCACCATAGTGACGACTCGGCGCAACATCTGTGCCTTCTCCTCCGAGTACACCGACGACGCCTCGTGCGCCATCATCGGGACCAGGCGGGAGAACACGTCGGCTCCTGACACCTGGAAACAAGTATAAAAAATAGAATTTATTCCTTGTGAATATTATCCTCATAATAACTATTGTGAGACATACTAAATTAACTAAAAATGGCAGGTTACTCACGTGAATATACTGAGAAAAGCTCTACTAGTTTCGAACCACAGAGGGGTTCTTTCTCATGAGAAGCGTGCGCGATCGCGGCGATGTCGCGTAGTAGTGTAGTGTAGTAGAGCTTTTCTCAGTATATTCACGTGAGTAACTCGCGATTTTTAGTTAATATTATCATCAACTTGTTTAGCAAACATGAATTTATTAAATACATATTATTTGCGGTTGGTAATAGAACGATATAATTTGGGAGGAACTATCAGTGCACAAGCCGCGTCAGGGACAAAAACAGTAAACCCATATTATATTATCCTAAACATAAAAACATACAATTTTAATAAGGAAAGAAAATAAAAAAATATATATATTCCTTCCTCATATAGAAACACAACACAAATAGTAATACGCACAAGCAAGCCATCAAGAAAAAAACGTTCAAAAAAATTGCGAGTTTTGTGTTAGTCAACAATCCATAAGGATGTCCATGGGTGACGCTGATTGCTCACCATCACGTGATGCCCCCTATTCAATAAAATAAAAACTAATGTCCAAACTTAAACGCCACTTAATTTTAAGTCGCGCTTAAGTATAGTTCTGTCGCTACAAATTCTTTGTACAATGACAGAGATGGCACGATATTTAACTCGTCGAGTACCGTCATTATAGACACAATTATAGAACAATAGGTTGCGGTCACTGGTGACCGCTTGGTGTTTGACAGTTTAAGTCTAAGCCAAAATCATTATTTAGATTTAGACCAAGACGACAGTTTTGAACGTCAACGAAAAAATTAAAAATGAAGCTATTTGCTCATTCCAAATGAGCAAATATTGCTATAAATTCCTACGGAGAAGAACAAGCAAGAAACTCCATAGGTTAGTCATTTTCAATCAGGTTCACAATACAATTCTTTAGTTACATAGTTTTGTGGGTTTTGTGGATTCAATAAGCACAACTGAAAATTGAGTAGCTCTTCATTTTTCGGCGTAACATGATCAAACATACCTCAGGATCGTTAAAGTTGATCGGCAGAGCCTTCACAAGGCAGACCGGCTTCATATCAGATAGCAAATCCTTCTCCGGAACTTCTTCGTGATAAATAAACTCATTTTCATTCTTAGCAGCTTTTCTCTTCCCTTCGACCACATCGTTGGTGAACGTGAGAGCTTCTTGCGTCACTTGTGTCGGTTCAATGTACTTGGCTAGTTTTCTAGCATCTGCTAATTTTTCCACAGCTTGCTGGTAAAAGGCTACCCGCTCGCCCATCTTCTGTTGTTCTTCGGCGTTCATTCCTGGTGAGATAAAATAGATGAGGTGTTAATATTGTGATAGGTAAATTGAGTGCTATGTAATATAGTTTGTTTTAGTTTTGGGTGAAGTAGGTCAAGAAAGTGGAGTTTCTTCAATATTATAAAGGCTAAGCGAGGAGACATTAAAATAAAAACCCTATTGGTTAACAATGTTTGTTTAAAAAAAATCTAATAGCTAAAATAAATAACCGCGCGAATATAATCTTAAATCCGCGGATCGATCAACGTTTTTGATAGAAACTATCATTAAAATCAACTGAAATAATTCATTTATTTAAATAGGTAAACCAACAGCTTCTGTTTACATAGTATTAAGAAATAACAAAGGTAACAATATATATTGGGTTTACCAATACAGTCGCCAATGATAGATTAACCAACTTTACTATTTAAAGTGATAAAGAAAAAAACTAAACAAACGAACAAGGAAAATAACATTTTAGTATCTAAACTGAAAAAAAGAAACTACTACTAATCATACAAATTGATCTTAATCCAAGATTCTGGTTTTTAATATATAAACGTAGTTGAACACAGGTTGCCTAAACCTAGTTCAAGCAAATCGCGACAAATATATATTATATATATACAAATATTAAAATTAGACCTATAATTTTTCTGTCCATAGTTTTAAGCAAAATAATGTATTATTATTATCTAGTTAATAGTCTAGCATAATTTTACTTTAATATAGTAATTAAAAAAAAACATAATGTAAGTGGAGTACATTCAAATAAATTATTCTTATTCTTATTCTATTCTTATTCGTAGTTGTTTACTGAAAGGTAAATATTTTAGTGATAGTCATTGCATAATGTATTACAAAGTTTCGTAAACTAGAATGTAGGTTAGTAAAATATCAACTGTCTATATCTGTCTGATATTTTAACAAAATCTAGTTTGATTATCGAATTTCTTTTAAGAATTCTTGTTATCCTAAAATCGACTATTTTACCAAAGTATAAATTTAATTGTTAATTCGCATTTAGAATATTAATTGTATCTTGTCTTATTTGTACACTGAAGACTACTATTAGATGAACATTTTTATTCCAGTCTACAGTAAATAAGGCTATACTAGCCAATCGCGTCACAGATCATTGATCGTAACTGCGTCATTTGTATAGAGGTATAGTGCTATTAATTTGTTAGCCTTTTAACACTCGACACAATGACAAACTGTGACGTAAACTTCAAGGGGAAATTGTAGTTATGTATATTGTGAATTGAGAAGCCAAAAAAATAGGGTTTCCTAAATTTTATTTTAATTTCGTCAGGTAAAATAATTTAAAACATTAAGACACGTATTTTTTCTTTTCTCACAAAAGTGAATACTTTCGACAACATATTTATGTAGGTATTAATACATGAATTGAAATGTCGTATGACGTCACAGCATGCTACATTTTGTAGCACGTTGTGACGTAACTCCTATGCTTAACACCATTTTATCTAAATATTGTAACTTTATACTTTATATAAAAAAATACGTGACTAATATTATTTCAGTATCTGACAGACTAATTAGATTAATTTTCTTACACAGTGAACACCATAGAGAGTTGGTGTTCAATTGCCTCCCAATAGAAGTAGAAGACAGGTGTGACGACATGTATGTAACAAACTAGAACATCTTTTGTTAAACTGATTAAATGAAGTGACATACTAAGTGTTAAATCAAATCAAACTGCAACATGAAGATGAAACATCCTTACGTCTATGGGATACTGACAAATTTCGAACTTTAACCCTTTGAGTACCGTCATTATAGACACAATTAAAGAACAATAGGTTGCGGTCACCGGTGTCCTTGCTGTGTTTGACAGTTTAATCACTTAAGATAACATACCGAAAATCCCCAAAGTTTGTTTATACAAAATTACTTTCTAAAAATCGGAAATAAGGTCTATAATGCGGTGAGTGGAGAGCAGACATCAGAGATCACTTGGGAATTGACCAGTTAAGTCTGTTAGTCATATCAATTCACCAGTAAAAAACAAATAACTTACCTTGGTACAAGCAAACAACGCAGCCAATATAAGAAAACTTGAACGAGAGGTATCTGTGCCAGTAATTGTAAAACTTCGTCCCAATAATCTCATGGACAACATCAATGCCTGAAGATGGGCCCAAGAACGCTAGGGAATTCTTGTAGAAGTACATCACTTGAGTTGCTACAGCACCTGTAGAATAAACAAATGTTTAGATCAGAATTGAAAAAAAAGCTTTACATAGAGACAGGTAGAAGGAGGGTAGGGAGGCCTTTGCCCTGCAGTGGTACGATCATGGCTGAAAATAAATAAATAATATAAATTAGATCAGAATTAGGTCTAATCATTATCATCATATTGACTGCAACAACAAATCGTTCTTATTATGATCTGGACTATAGGCCTAATGTAGAGGACATAAGAGCTATAATAATAATATGTTACGAAAAACTAATGATACACAAGGAAGTGGGACTTGAGACTGAGCTTTCGAAACCAGACTCTAAAAGATATGTGGTTTATATGTTTCGAAATTTATTAATTTACTAGCTTTTACCCACGGCATCGCTCGCGTCACAAAAGAATAAAAAGTAGCCTATGTGACATATACCAATACACACAGCGCCATCTATACCAATACTTTTGTTTTTCCTCGGAAATATCAATTGTTTCCGGGTTAAAAAGTACCCTATTATTTAATCCGGACTTCTAACTTTACGTTTGCAAAAATTCAAAGCAATCGGTTGAGTGGTTACGGCGTAAAGGTGGAACAAACAAACAAACAAACAAACTCACTTTCAGATTTATAATATTAGTAAGGAAGTAAGGATAAGGATAACACATCCACCCACCCACAGCGCCGTAAATAGGGCGGTGCCAGCGGTGCCCAGGCACAGGGCGCAGACCCTGGAGGGGCGCAGAAATGACCAGATTGTACTATCTAAATCTGTATCGCATTTTTAAACGATCTTGAATCAACAACACATTTCAAACGACTCGCTACACATCAGACAAAGTCCCCGGCACAACCAGCGGTCCATCGGCCAACGCCCTGGCCGAGAAGCTTAGGGCGTGCCTCGGTGCGGACGAGGCTCGCGTGTCCAGGCCCACCAAATACCTGGATGTCAGAATTTTGGGCCTGGACGACTCCGTAACGGAGCGGGAGGACTGTGTCATCTGAATCATCTGCGCCAGGTGTACTGGTGGTCGCAAGAGCTGGCAGCTCTACGCAAGGCGTGCACTGCTGCGCGACGCCAGTACACTAGGCACCGCAGGCGCCGCATCCGTCTTCCGAATGCGGAGGCGAGAGAGGCGGAGTTGTACGAGGGATACAGGGCGGCAAAGGCCGTCCTCAAGGCAGAAATACTGCGGGCCAAGGAGAAGGCCCGCCGAGAGATGCTGGGGACTGAACAGAGACCCGTGGGGACGCCCGTATCGGAAGCTCCGCGCTTGGGCTCCCCCGTTCACTCAGAGTCTCCGGCCAGAAGTCTTAGAAGAGGTGATTGGCGCCCTGTTCCCCCGACTGTGGAGGGGCTTCACCACTACGTATATGACTCCGCCCCCTGGCGGTGCCCGACGCGGGTTATAGCGACGATGACGACGACATCGTCTCAGAGGTGACCGAGGCAGAACTGAGAGCGGCGGTGCGCCGGATGGGCGCCAAGAATACCGGTCCAGGACAGGCTTGCATGGCAAAGCATCGGTCCTGGCCTCAGAGGCTCTCGGGCCTCGATTAATTAGTCTCTATAGCGCATGCTTGGAGAGAGGCCAGTTCCCGCTTCTCTGGAAAGTGGGCAAACTGGTCCTCGTGCGGAAGACGGGGCGCCCTGCGGACTCTCCGTCCGCGTACCGGCCCATAGTGCTGCTCGATGAGGTGGGGAAAGTCTTCGAAAGAATAATTTCGAACCGCCTCATCGCGCACTTGTCGGACATTGGACCGGACCGGTCGGACGGCCAGTTCGGCTTCAGCAGAGGGCGCTCCACGATGTACGCCATCATGCGCGTTAGGGACCGGACGGGGACGGGGACTGCAGTGTCCAGGGGTAAGGTCGTTGTAGCGTTGTCTCTGGACATCGCCAACGCCTTCAACTCCCTGCCCTGGAGCTGCATCTTGGAGGTACTCCGATATCATCGGCGCCTACCTACCTCCGTCGTGTCATCGAGGCTTACCTGACGGACAGGTCCGTCATTTACCCCGGTCACCGGGGCGAGTGGAACCGGCGAGAGATGTCACGCGGTGTTCCACAGGGTTCGGTTCTGGGGCCGCTCCTGTGGAACATCGGCTATGACTGGGTGCTGCGCACCGACCTCCCGAACGGCGTCAGCATCATATGCTACGCCGACGACACGCTGGTGCTAGCGCACGGGAGGTCGCACGCGGCCGCGGCCGACTTAATGGCGACAGCGGTTGCGACAGTTGTTGAGAGAATCCGGCAATTGGAACTCGAGGTGGCGCTCCACAAGTCCGAGGGTTTGTGTTTTCATGGCCGCGGGAACGCGCCACCTCCGGATGAGTCCCAAATAACGGCGGGAGAGGTTACCATCGGCGTCGAGACGACGATGAAGTACCTGGGACTCGTCCTCGACAGTCGGTGGAACTTCGTGGAGCACTTCCGACGTTTGGCTCCAAAGTTGGCGAGGGCGGAGGCTGCGTTTAAGCGCATCCTCCCCAACTTCGGGGGGCCAAACGCCTCCTGCCGGAGGTTATACGCCGGGGTCGTGCGGTCCATGGCTCTCTACGGCGCCCCTGTGTGGGCGCCGAATCTGATGCGGCGGCCCGCTCGGGCGCTGCTCATATCACAGAGGGTCATGGCGATCCGAATGAGCCGCGGATACCGCACGATCTCCGGGGAGTCGGCGAACCTCCTTGCCGGATTACCGCCGTGGGATCTGGAGGCGAAGGTGCTCGCGCGCTTGTATCGCATGCGCGCGTAGGCACGTCGCCGAGGCGAAACTCCGCCGCACCGTGCCAGATAAGTGCGTGGCGGGAAGAGCTCCGGCGCGATCTCATGGCGGAATGGATTGTCTTAAAACATCTACTAAGTACTGACCTTATAACTTGGTACACAATAAACAGTTATATTTTCCTGCACATTTGTCCATTTTATTGTCAGAGCCTGGTAAGGACATTTTTCAAGGGCGCAGTTTTGAAAGCTCGCACCGGGCGCATAGAAGGCTAGTTACGGCACTGCCCACCCACGACACAGGAGAAAATCCTAGTGTCAGGCTACGTTTTTTAAAAATAAAATAAAAAACATCAATTAGGCAAATGGAAGCTATAACATTTGATACATGTATATCACTCAAGACATTTTATTTTTGTTGGCCTCTCCTTTAGCAAAGATATTTGACAAGATAGTTTCGTTTGCCATCACCTCAATTGTTATCTACTCTAATGTCAATAAAAGATAATTCATAATTGACCAAAATGGTAAACATTACATGTAATTTTTACATAGAGACCCTGATTACATGCCAAGCACAAAACTAAATGAATAGTCTTTCTACTGTCTTGACTATTTTTTGTTTTAGTTTTATTCAGCACAATAGACAAACTTAAATAAAATTACTGAGTTCACAAAGAAGTGATAAGTTTTTAATTTTAATGAGCGACCCAATAACGCCACAAAGGCTAAAACGAAAAACTCCACAGAACCTATTACTATAGACTATGACTGATGTGAAGTGGACTTGTGACTTGTGACACTGGACATGTACCGCACAGGCCGATTTAAGCAAATACTAAACTATTGCTGAATATTGCTTGGATAGATTGCAATAAAATAAAAATTTTATGTTTAGAAAGTGTTTTTAAAAAGTTAGCAGCAATCTGAATGTGGCCGAATCTAAAAAAAATAAAAGATTTGCCTCCAACTCCAGTGTATCCCTAAAAGACCTAATACATTTGACTAATAATGTAATTAAAAAGAAAGAAAGTAAGATAAGAAGTGTCATGATTAATTTGTTCAACTTGATGTACCTACAGAATAAAAGACTGTTATTTCATATCTTACCAACAACACTAGGCTTCCTTGTATCCTGAATACTTTTATCCAAGATACATTCTTGTGCCTGAGCAAAGCAAATCTCCTGCATCATCCTCATGATTTCGGAACATACATCCACTCCGGATGGCTGCGGTAACTGTTCCCGTAAGTACTGGAACACCCACGCAGCATGCTGGAAGTTGGTGCAAGCTGCCTTGAGGCTGTCAGCCGTGTTCCTTGGCTCTGAAGCTCCCAGTTGAGTGAGGAGTGCCCCTACATTGTAAAGGATGCTAGCCATTTCAAACCTTATGTCTGCTAGTGTTCTGTTCATATTTGCATATAAGTCTTTCCTAGAAGTGAAAAAGGTTCTGTTATGTTTTTCAATCTAATAGGTGAAAATTATTGTTTGTTTATATTCTAATTAGATGTCAGGCTAATAGTGTTTGACATGTACTAATTAAGGTCTAATAAGTTTAAGTAAAATGTTACAAACATTAATGTTATTATTATTGCTATAATTACTTTACTTTTTGAATTTTTGCCTTCTAATTCCGGTCATATGACAAGTAAAATTTATGAATGAATCACAATAGCTTGAATGCCTTGAATCACTTGATTTTCCCTATAGTAGTTACTATAGTGGCAATGTGAATTCATTCCACAACACAAATATTCAAACAAGTTTACAAGCACACATTTGTTCTCAAAACAAAAGTATTTTAAACTCTTTATCAGACAATGATGTTATCAACATCATGAGACATCATGTAAACAACTTTGCAGGAATCATGATTCATTCATACATTCAAAGAAAATCAATAAGAACTTAAATGTGATATAACTGTTAATTAGATTTACCAGCTGAAGGAACACGCAGCGGGTTGACCTTTAGACATAGGGAAACGGCTTTGCAGCGACCGCAGCTGGCAAAAGTACCTGATGAGGGCACTCAAACCCGCTGAATCAATAGTAGGTCGTACGGCCACTGACCGCAGACCTTCCAACTGATGGATCTCATTGCTATAACTGTCCGGATCTTCCCTATAAGCTTCCGCGATGTACTGAAAGAAACACAACGTAGAGAAACAACAAAGAAATTATGAAAGTAACTTTATCAGAGATTACGAGTCCTACTTACCTGTTTCAATTTAGGTCCAAAATGCGTATTCTCGTGGCTCACCTTCAGCTCAAAACTTATCATAGGTAATTTTGGAACGGCTTCCATGATTACCAAAGCTGTTTTTACCTGTTTCAACTATTTTTCACTCGGTAAAACAATTTCATCACAAATTAAACTATTTGTTCCACTGTCATTTTTTTGTGTTTTTAATTTAGAGGTGTACAGTTTTGTTTTGAACATAGCTCTATCTTTACCGGTTTTAGCACTTATTGTTATTTTTATTAGAGAAAATCAATTTCATTTTGTAAAATTTAATTAAATAAATCAAGTATAATTATTTGCAAAGCAATTACAGTTTTTCGCACAACATTTCATTAATTTTCTATTTTACGGGAATTTAATTCGTAAAGAACTCGAGAATATGCGTATGCAATGCAACAAAAACTTTTTGTCTTCGCCTACTAATTGTCTATGGTACTCTTGTCCTGTCAAAAGGCATTCGATGCTTGGTTTGTGTATTTTTATATTTTAGCAAAATAAGGTGCACAATCAATAACTACTTGCGTATGGAATGCTAAAGATCTAATGACCATGAAGCTGAAAAAGCCTAAAACTGACACTGAGGTGAGTTTCGTCCCAAAAACTCGTTTGTTTACATGCTTATCCAGGGTCAACAGTGTTCGGCATTACTCTCACTGTGAAATCTCCGTTCACGTACACTATCAGACACCAAATATCATGAATACCTTTAGTAAAACAGCAACCGCAACGTATAAACCAGATAGTGTATCGATTTTATGCATACTTTCATGATGTTTTAGGAAACTGTACCGCCAGTGGTGCCTCCTCAAGCGGAGATTATAGAGGCCGATCTTTACAAGCGGTCGTACTTCGGTCCTGATGTTCCTACACTAGAACTAGAGTGCTGGGAAGAAGAACTGTCTGAGGCTCAACTACAAGCTTATAAGAATGCTGACGATGAATACAAGAGTATTCAGAATAGATTGGATGAGATGGTAAAGGACACTGGTGGTGAAATTGTGTATAATGGAGACCAGTTCACTGCTTACCAACTGCTTGGGAAGTAAGTTGTTTTGTCAACTATTATTTATGTGCACACTTAAAACACATTTAGTAGAGACCAGGGTGCTTATTTTTGAAACCAATCTCTTTGTCAATTTAATTACAAAACCAAATCTAATAAAATCTCAATAATTATTTTAAATTATAACTATACAAGCTATTAAAGTACCATTCAGGGTACAGAATATAAAGCCAAACTCGATACTATTAGCACTATATGAGTGAAATTGATGCTAGTATGGAAACTTAAGAGTATGAAATTTCACTATATTGATTGGAATTAGATTCAAGAGCAAGCTCCCAGGCAGCAGTACTCTCTGATTAACCTAAACATATGTAAGCATTTGTCGCTCTGATTGGCTAGCTCGAATGAACCAACTAATCAGAGCAACGAAAGCGGTCTCATTTTGATTACTTTCAATATAAAAAAAAACACTGGTGTTGGTGTCTGTCCTGCTTGCTAAGAGCGACAATTATGGCAAGTCCCATTTTTATACAGAGAATACTTAAAATTAAAAAGCTAATGCTAACTTCAAATAACGCCTATCTATTTATTTCCAGGCAACCTGTACTGAAGGACTTGGAAAGGCAAAGTGCTGAGATCATTAGATCCAGGTCTCGTTCAATGTCCATCTCCAAGGAGAAACCTGGAAAGAGAGGTATACTGAATAGGATTATTACATTTAATTGTATTAGTATCAGATAATATACAATAATAATTAGTGGAACAATATAGGTAAATATATTCTATTTATTGTGAATGTAGGAATCATAACGATTGATGTTGCCTATCCCCTGGAAGACAAGTGTGAGGTTATGTTTGTGAATGTACAAGCAATGTGATAGGAAAGTGTTCTTATCATGAGAATATTTTAATTTTTATGACTTATGACACACTGTCATGTCCGTTATTTGCACTTAGTTTTCGCAAAACAAAGTATATGTCATCATGTCGATTCCAATCTCACATATTATGTCTTTGTTATCTTATCTATTCTCTCTTACTACTTACTACCTTTAACCAAAACTCATGACTAACTGTTACCAATAATACTACAGCGGTCAACAGATCAACAACCTCGAATCTGTTAACACTAAAGTGGAAGGAGTCTGTATTTCCTGACGGGTATATATAACCTGGGTGTATTCAAGGCCCGAGTGAATAACTAGGTTCCTTATGGGACGACATGCTCCATCGTAGTCCAGATCATCACTTACCACCAAGCGTGTGCGTTACCCAAGCCCTGATGTTGTCGAAAATGGTCATTTGAATCTTATTGATGATAATTAGTTGTGCGGCTTCTGTAATTGTTGCCCACATTTTTAAATTTGTTGCGCTTATGGTTTTTTTATTATTTCATAAAAACATTTCCTGCTGGGGTAACGTTACCCCAGACCTTTTTCTTTCTAATGGGAATATTTAAATAATTACTAGCTATAAAATAATTGTAGATGAAGTAAATGTTGTACCTTATTTTGTATTTGTTCTTTCATCGGTTGCGAAGTTATTCGAGATTTTGCTGGGGTAACGTTATTGATTTTGCTAGATCTTTGAAATGGTTAAGCGGATTCTTATCATATTTTGTACATGGCCTCTTAGGAATTAGTTTAAATTTGTTGTGCAATAAAAAACAAAACAATACATAGCTTACAGGTTATTTCATTGTACCTGCTGGGGTAACGTTACCCCAGCAGGAAATGTTTTTGTGAAATAATTAAAAACTATGAACGCAACAATTACAGATGTCGCACAACTAATTATCTATAAGATTCAAATGACCATTTTCGACAACATCTGGCCTGGGTAACGCATAACATAAGCCAATAAAATAAAAAAGGGCAATTTAACAGTAAAGGCTCGATTGACCTGCAGGCCACCGTACAAAAACCAAAACAATAAACTGAATTATTTCGAACATCCAGGTCGTCCACGTAAGAATCGTGAGGAGGATCGGGACTACTCACCTTCTCCAGAGAGGAATAGGTCTCCAGAAGTTAAACATAAGAAGAAAAAGAAGGACAAAGAGAAGCTTAAAGAGAAAGAGAAGGAGAAAGAAAAAGACAAGGAGAATACTAAGACTAAGGATAAGACTCTTGCACCTTCAAGTAAGTATACTTTTGGAGATTTCAAAGTTAGAGAATTTGTTTTAATGAAACCGTGTGGTTTAATGGTACAAGCACTTTTGAAAGGTTAAAATAGAATAGTCCATCAGAGATGCTTGTTATAAAATTTAGATTCATAATATATGCAAAAGAATGAGAAAGAAACTCCACCATTTAATGAAACTTACCAATATCTGGTTAAGAGCTACTAACATTAGCTTATTTTTACACATTTCTTATGAGAAAATAATAAAAAATCGCTTAATTGACTAAAGAAAATTCTTCAACAGATGTACACAGCGTGGTCACAAACGTGCGTCCCTCCGAGGCTACAGCCATTGGGGGCTTGTTGACAGGCAGTGCTACGAAGACCACTGCCATTGTTGACCTGACTAAAGACGATGGCAATAAGAACGTTGCTGATTCTAGAGAGGTGTCATTCAATAAACTTCAAGGTATGTTCAACAATTAATTGGGCCTCCGGTAATCTCACTCACACTACGAAACACAAAGCAAGCGTTGTTTCACGTCGGTTTTCTGCGAGGCCATGGCCGTGAGCTCTTGCCGAAATATGGCTCTCCCTCACTTAAGTTGTTAATTTAGTCGCGGAGAACCTAACGGGTTACTGGGGCTCCGGCTCGAAGTGCAGGAGAAGGAACGGGGTGGTTTTTAGTCAGTAAGAGTCTGACACTCGCAGACATTCGATGATTTTCCCCACTTAAAAAAAGTTGTTTTAAATGTTTAATTTTAATTCTTCCCGCAGGCAAGACATTCCCCTCATTAGTCGTAGTGGCGCGGCCCTACCTCCGTTCCAAGGACTCGACAGCTCCCTCAGACCGCACGACACTAGACAGTAAGGTGAAGTCAGTACTGATGCACACTCCGATGAAGTTCACGGAGTGGCTCATACAACAGGGGCTCGTCCGGTCCGAGCAGTGGTGCGTCATACATTCCGGGAATAAACTTAAACTTGGTGAGTTATTAATTTTTGAGACAGATTTATTTGGTTACCAAAATGCAGATTTAATTTATGGAATAAGCCGGTAAACGAACAGACGGATCACCTGATGGTAAGCAATCGTCGCCGCCCATGGACACCTGGAATTCTGGAACACCATACTTGAGGTGTGTGAACACACCTCAAGTATGGTGTGTGAACACACCTCAAGTGCGTTACCGACCTTTTGGGGATTAGGAATTTGAGGATTGTTGGGGATTCAGGGATTGGGGTGGGGACTAACTGGGCTTCCGGAACAGTTAATATTTCTTGCGAACAGCAACGAATACGGACTGCAATTATTATTTTTGCATATTTTTTTTTAAAGTAGCATCCATAAATGAACCTGTCTGCATTACACAGTCAAGGCAAACACCTAAAAATATAACTATTTCATTTTCCAGGAATGTACTCTGACGTATCAAAGTTCCCCTACTCAGGCGGCTACGTCTGGATATCAGAATGCTGTCCAACGCGATTCGTCTCTGTGTACTCCAGCTCTATATTTGAAGGCGCGACTTTCCCGCCAAGCGTGCTACTCAAACTAATATACCACTGGGCGTGCCAAACAAACGTACAAAATGTCGTTCAGTGGGTAAAAGTTGATAATTTGTATGTAAAAGGCCTCTTTACTTGGCTAAGAGCGGTCTGCACGTCAGCCATTCATCAGCATATGAGCTTACTTGGTGGGGTCGGGAAGAAAGTTGAAGTTGGTGTCATATCTTTGGGCACTACTAGTCATGACGGCACACAGAGACAGGTCAAGGTTGAAGTCTTAGGTGTACTTGATCCTGTTGAGAAATTGGTAAGATTTTGTTCGAATTTGATCTTAAACATGTTTGATTACCGACACAGATAATATCTCAAAAACGTTTTCACAGATCCGTCTTCGCGCCGTAGAACCGTTAGCAGAACATGAAAAGAACTACAAAAAGCGCTTCCAGAAAATTCTGGAACCTCTTTCTTCATGGGTGCATCCATCATCAGTGATTCTGACAGACTTGACGGTCGACAAGGGCACTCTGGTGTCCATGGGCTTCAAGAATGTGCACCAAGCATCAGCACACTCCGACTCCTCAACTGCAAGGAACAGCAATGCCAATATCATGGAGTACTTGAGGCGGATCGTGCCTCGAATGTTCCAGAACACACTTTCTCTGTTATCTAGGCAGATTATACAGCAATTCTTGGATGAGTTAGTTTGGAGAGAAAGGTAAGAACAGATTTTGTTAATGTTGTAAATAATTTTTCGCTGACATCTTTAGTCTGTAGTAAGATGAGTATTCCATTTATGTGGTTCACGTATTTCACAATAACCCGTAAGAACGATTAGTGGAACAAATAGTTTTTCTGTGCTTGACTCCGTCACACTACACAAGTTTCGTCAAATAGTAAATTTTAATATTTGTCCTCAGGTACGGTATTTCCCCCGGCCAAGCGTTCGACAACATAGTGATCCACATAGCAGAACAAAGCAAGATGGAGTCTAAGGACCCGATCACAGTGCGTCTCAACAAGATTGCTGCTAATCCATTCAAGAACTGGAAGTATCCAACTGGCAAGGTAAGTGTGACTATGTTTTGAAATCTTGCCCCCACACTAGAATTTCCAGATATGGACCACTAGGGTCTCCTAGCTTAAGTTGTAAAAAGAAATTATCTTCATAGGAATGAACCTCATTAATAATGAATTTGAAATCTTAATCATCTCAGAACATTGTAATATTCCTAGTATTTCCTAGTCAAAACTAGAAAACAGAAAAAGAAAATGACTAAATTAATAATAATGTTGTGCGGTGCACACACGTAACTGTTTGACATGCTAGTTTCAAGCCACGCCAGGGGATCATCATAACTATGAGCAGCATTGACTAATTTAATGTCTTACTATATTTACAATACAAAAAATCCACACACAATATTTTACGAATTGTAGAAACGGGAGAAAGTAGAGGAACCAGAGCCAGAGACCACAGGTCGCAGTAAGCGCGGCCGTAAAAAGAAGGAGCCCTCGCCCTCACCGCCACCCAAGAAGAGGAGGAAGGAGAAGACCACTTATGTTGAAGATGATGATGAAGAGGTCTGTATGGAATTTGCTTTATCATCAACAGCCTATAAATGCTCACTGCTGAGCAAAACCTCTTCTCACACGGAGGTTTGAGCATTAATCACCACGCTTGCTCAATACGGGTTGATGATTTCAAACTTATAATTAGAAACTATAGCCACCTAAACTTGGTCGGGTTATCACGGTCATTCTCTTCCTACTGACTTTAACGCATTCACTGCCCAGTAATTTTCTCCAGTGCCCGAATTATAAGACTTAATCGTATTATCTCATTAATTGTCCAAGGTACTGAGTTGAAATTTTACTGATATACATCTGAACTAAACAACTAATTATTGACATAACATTCAGTTCATATATCCAATCCAGTAGCTAAATAACACTGCGCGCATCAAAACCGTGCTCGTGAAGAACTCAATATCATCATAACTTGTTACATACTTACAGGATACTAATGAAACTTCACATGCATTTGCAAGCAGTTACAAGCTTTAAAATAAGTCTTTAGAGCTCTTATTGAGGGGGTGCTGGGACTAATTTAAGTGTTCTTCTATTTAATGAAATAACTATTAGGCTATTTATTATTATGCCTTTTTATTGCACAGCAAATTGAAAGTAATTCCTAAGAAGCCATGTACAAAATATGATAAGAATCTGCTTGACCATTTCAAAGATTTAGCAAAACCAAAAACGTTACCCCAGCAAAATCTCGAATAACTTCGCAACCAATGAAAGAACAAATACAAAATAAGGCACAACATTTACTTAATCTAGACAACTAATTTTATAGCTAGTAAGTATTTAAATATTCTCATTAGTAGGAAAAAGATCTGGCTGGGGTAACGTTACCCCAGCAGAAATTGTGTTTGTAAAATAATTAAAAAAACAATAAGCACAACAAATTTAAAAATGTGCGCAGCAATTACAGAAGCCGCTCAACTAATTAATTATAAGGTTCAAATGACCATTTTCGACAACATCTGGCTTGGGTAACGCACACAATAGAAGTCACACGAAATAAAAACAATATTTTCACACTTCAAAATTTCTCTTCAACAGATACCACTAGCTCTTAGTCGAAAATCAAAAATAAAAGAAGAAAAAGAGAAAACTAAAGAGAAGAAAGAAGAAACGACCGCTCGTAGCCGACGGACTAATAAGGCGAAGTCTTACGTTGATGATGATTTGGATGACATTCCTCTCAAGAACATCAAGAAGGAGGTCCGTCCTGAAGAGACGGTCTCCATGGAGAGATACTACTTTGGACAAATCGGTGGAGATGGAGAATTTGCTAAAACTGCTATTGCGGTTGAGGTTGGTATTATATTGACTTGACTTTTATTCTCATTCTCTAACATTTAAAAGGATTTTGATTTAAGGCATTTTTTGTGAAAATAACTGCTATCGAATTTGATGAATTTTGGGTATAGATAAAAACTGCTGTACTGGGGAATTGTTTCCGATATGGATTCTTCCTAATAATGTTTTAGAAAAAAAGAACGAAATTAATTTAGATCAAATAGATAAATAAATACTTCTGTGCGTTTCATTAGGTATTTGGTAATACCTATAAAAGTACTATGTTATAAATAATTCCACCTCAAAATACTTAACAAACATTAAACACTAATTCTAGTGCCCAGTCTGCCACGATGAGTTCAACGACAACATCGCCCTGATGCACCACCTGTACGGGCACGCGGCGCCGGGCGCGGCCGACGGCTCCAACCCCGCGCAGTGCACGCTCTGCCTCACTCGGTTCCCCGCGCACGACGAACTCGACCTACACCTCAAGCACAACCACCCCACTGATACTAAGTCGCCTGACTTGTTCACGTATGCCTGTCTTATTTGTGAGGTGAGTTTAAGTACAATGTGATTTTCTTTTTGGTAGTAATAAAGTTGTGTAATGCTTTTACTCGACTGCCAAAAGAGGGTTACCCAAACTTTTGTTACCCAGCAAGGTTGGTAAAGCCTTACCTACATCGTTTCTATTATAATGGATTATGTAGTTATAATTATTTCTGTTTACTTTCTCCTAGAAAAACATGATTAAATTCACGACAAATAACATTTTCATTCCTCGCACAGGTACGTTTCGCGGCAGTCCTGACCTTAGCATCCCACATGCAGAAGACCCACGCCCCGCAGGAGCTCCCCTACAGTTGCGGGGCCCCCGACTGCACCTACAGGGTGTCCTCGCATGCACAACTACTCAAACACTACGCCAACACACATAAAAACTCCGATAGTGTCTGCTGTCCGCATTGTCTTAAGGTGGGTACATTTCTTTTTAATTGTTGTTTACCATACTTTCATAAATGGGGATGATGACAGGGTATGAAAATTAAAAATCTAATTAGTCCGTAAGTTAGGTAATTAAAAAATATTAGACACGTATTTTTTTATTTTGTCGTATAATAACAAACTTATATTAAAACGAATCAAAGTTTAGGAGTGGGGGCTAAAACGTCATTTCTCAGTATAAAATGTACTGAGAAGTGACGTCACGCGACATTTCAAATCAATATATCTTCGAAACTATTCGTTTCCGTAAGAAAATAAAAAATACGGGTCTAATGTTTTTAAATAATCTACCAGACGGACATTAAAATAAAAATTAGTCGTCTACCCCATTGTAACCTATACACAAATATTTTTCAGTATCTTACGTTTAGGTACGTTTTGGTTGCGGGAAAATAATTTTGTCTATCAATAAAAATTGATAAGGTCACCCATATCTTCTCTTTACAACAATACAATTCTATTTCTGTCTTTAACAGGTGATAAAGGTATACTCAGACGGCTATGAACTAACAGCCAACGTGGTGCTGTACCTGGATCACTTGAAGCAGCATCAGGACAAGGATCTGGAAGTACGCTGCAATAGATGCGTGCTCAAGTTTGTACATCTTGGTGAGTTTCATAACAATAATAGTCCACCTACTAAACATACTAGGTGTCTCTTGGTGCAAAGAAATAAGGATTATTTTCTATTAGGATGGGAAAAAAGCTATTTTTTCAATGGTACTCTTCGACCAAGTTGATGATTTTACAAAGAATCTGAATCTTTTTTTTCTATATTTGTTGGGTCGACGTTTGACCACTATCTCGCCTGATGGTAAGCGGTGATGCGGTCTACGATGGAGCATTTAGATTTTGCATTATCAAATATTTTTTAATTACTTTGAGTTGGAGGACTGATTTCAGATTTTTTCAAAGCATAATATTATGATTGATATTATGATGATATGATATATGATATGATTGCAAAAATAGGTATGTATTTTTATAGGGGATAAAAATACATACCTATTTTTAATGTTTTTGTCCTTGTTACAGGCCAACTGAAAGAGCACCAAGTGCGTGATCACATTACCGTGGAAGGCGCGACACCGCTCTGCTCCGAAGAACACTTGATTACCAAGCCTAGAGTGAGTGTAGTATAATAAATCTTTATTTATTATTTTACCTTTTGAATTAATCTCATATTGTAATTGAGAAAGTGTATTAGTGTTCGTTTACCTATTAATATCTTTCTCGACACAATAGATCGATTTCATGGTGTGATGTTATTATCAGCTTTGTAATAAATTAAATTTTAAATTCCTCATTGGTTAGTTCAGCTGTGAACTCACTCAAATTATGATTAGAATTCGATGATAATATTGTCGTCACCTAATTCATCAATATATTATTCTTTATTACAGAACAAGGCTCGTCCTCCAGTGAAGGACTCGGCCAACCACACAATAGACGACACGTTCGAGGGCCTGACACTCGTCCTGCCGGACGGGATGCTGTGTCGGGAGTGTGATACCCCACTCGAGAGGGAACAACATTTCTTGTGAGTATCCACTATATTCTACAAGTGAGAAAATATTGTAAATGTTACTTGATTTGTAAGTCAGTGTTATGGTGTTCAATTTCATATAATTATTATATTCTATAGGATTCTTCTATAGGATTTTTCCGCTACTACAAAGTATTATGTTGTTAAGATCTTTGTGTGCTTCACATTCATGTATCAAAAGAAATCGGGCAGTACCTCTCTTATAAACCTGGACCTTTAATTTTTTAAACTACCATATCCAACCGGCCCACATAGCGTTTAAAATATGGCAAACTCTTATGCAGAGAACACCCACAGGCTCACAGCTCTCATGATAATAATGTTTTGAGAATATCCAAAATATAATATTGTTCTAATAATTGGTTTATCCTGCGAATAGGGGTACGACCCGTTGCACGAAGTGTTCGTACGTGACGTCATGCTACCGCGCCATGCTCCGCCACAGCGCGTACTGCGCCGGCCCGCACTCGCTCGAGGACGCGCCGCGCCCCGCGCCGCGCCGCGCGCACTGCGTCTGCGGGTACAATACTGATATTGGTACGTATACACGAACACTTTGATCGTGATATTTTTACAGGATATTCTTAAAAATATTGAGGGCTCTCAATTAATTATCGCGATTTATTGCAATTTAGTCATTTTTTTTTAATACAGATATTAAATATTTATTTTATAATATTTCTTATTTCGACGTTCTTCGACCGATCCTTCAATGTCAAGTATAACAGACGTGTTCTAGACAATTTCTTTTTTTAATATTACATCTAGGTACATTTTTATCCCACTTAATCCACAGGAACGGACATGTTGACTCACTTGTTGATGTGTGACCACAAGTCCGCGTATGCCTCCGAGGAAGATGCCCGGGCAAACACTGTGGGCGCCGAGGACGTGCCCATGGTCAACATTGCCAAGCCTGTTGAAGAGACGCCACCTGCTGTTGACACGGTAAGCTGTTAAACTTATTGACAATGGTCATGAAGACTATGCCTATAATAACTGGTTAACAGATATTTTTCTCTGAACTCTTTTTTTTAGTAATTTTACTAGTTCCATACTTTCATGGTACTGTCGAGATTTACAAAATTAGATCTGTAAACTCAAACTCAAAAGCATTTATTTCAACCATAATTTGGAATTTTTTTGAGACGTCAACAAATATAAAATAATTAATAGTTTGTCAGTCAGTCCGTCAGTGAAACTTGGTGGTCGTTCCAAAATGTCGATATGTGTACTAATTTGACTGTGGTATATGGAGCATCAGCAAGCACTTTTGAAGACAATTTGGACTTTGGAACTTTTTTATAACAAGATGGTGACAATAAACATCCGATGGACCATCAAAATGGCCATAATGGAGAAGGTATTGCTTGTCAGTAATTAACGATTAAAAATAACTATTTGCAGCAGCCAGTGGACAGTGTAGCAGCGATGTCCGACTACGCTCCACCGTCAGTGCTCAACACACAACTGTCGCTCGACGACCTGGCGCCCCCGTCAGTACTGCAGTCTGATCAGGTACGTACTGATAAGTTACCTGTGTGCGTTACCCAGGCCAGTTGTTGTCGAAAATGGTCATTTGAATCTTATAGATAATTAGTTGTGCGAAACCGCGCGGAAGTAGCTAGTACTATTATATAAAGCTGAAGAGTTTGTGCGGCTTCTGTTGCGCACATTTTTAAATTTGTTGCGCTTATAGTTTTTTAATTATTTCACAAAAACATGCTAGGGTAACGTTACCCCAGCCAGACCTATTTCTTTCTAATGGCAATATTTAAATAATTACTAGCTATAAAGTTCGTTGCCTAGATGAAGTAAATGTTGTGCCTTATTTTGTATTTGTTCTTTCATCGGTTGCGAAGTTATTCGAGATTCTGCTGGGGTAACGTTTTTGGTTTTGCTAGATCTTTGAACAAGTTATGATGATATCTTAATCCAGTGGCCAAATAACATCACGCGCTTCAAGACCGTGCTCGTGAAGAACTCGATATCATCATAACTTGTTCAATACTTACAGGATACTAATACAAACTTTAAAATAACGTTTAAAGTAAGTCTTTAGAGCGCTTATTGAGAGTGCTGGAACTAATTGAAGTGTATTTCTATTTAATGAAATAATAACCTTTGATAATAAGCTATGTATTATTTTGGTTTTTTTATTGCAGAACAAATTTAAACTAATTGCTAAGAAGCATGTACAAAACATGATAAGAATCCGCTTAACCAATACAAAGATCTAGCAAAACCAAAAACGTTACCCCAGCAGAATCTCGAATAACTTCGCAACCGATGAAAGAACAAATACAAAATAAGGCACAACATTTACTTCATCTAGATAACTAGACAAAAGGTCTGGCTGGGGTAACGTTACCCCAGCATGATGTTTTTTGTGAAATATAAAGCGCAACAATTACAGAAGCCGTACAACTAATTATCTATAAGATTCAAATAAGTACCATTTTCAACAACAACTGGCCCGGGTAACGCACGAGTTACCTCATAAGTTTCTATTAATAATATAATCAAAGAACTTATTGTTCTTAAATTATTTACAGATTTAAATATTGTTTGGGTAATTATTTTAATAATGATATTATGTTACTTTACATAACAACATTATGTCAAAAACCTAGATATACACAACACTTACGTAAAAAAAAAAATTGTTCTGCCACATTACGGGATTAATAATATTCCTATTTCATTGTCGTACAACTAGATTATCCCACACTTTTATCAGCAGTATTTTTTTTATACAATAACAATTTCTTACTATATGTTTTCCCCCAGCATGACCAAGAGCTACTGAAGGACACATACGACCGTCCTTTAGCAACTCCACGTCATGAGGAACCACACTACAGCCTCGGGGACTTCGAGCCGCTCCCTCAGGAACCACCGCCGCAGCCAGACTTCGAGCAGCTTTAAATAATAAATTATGGGAAAATGGAATTTTTATCACTAAGATCCTTGTATTCTATCCATGTTTATGGTAGGAAAATATTTTTAGAGGTCAATTTATAGCTTGGTTTTGGTTAGATGTCAAGACAACATTTCATTTGTATCAATATCTCGTTTAGGTACTGTTATGTTCTTTAAACTGTCAAACACCAAGCGGTCACCGGTGACCGCAACCTATTGTTCTTTAATTGTGTCTATAAATACGGTACTCGACGAGTTAAACCATATTACATTTATAATATTATAATTTGGCCTCTTTAAAGACACTATTTATGGCAGAATTCTATATAAAATATAATGTATAAATAATGGATATTCAAGTTTTGTTTATTTGTAAGTGAGAATTAAGAAATAAATAAATGCTTTTAGTTTAAAATAATATTTTATTGACTTATTTACACTTTTTACATCCATGAATTCTGTATAAATATTGCGATAGTAAGCTGCAGTCTCTTAAAATAAGTACATAATTGTAATTGTGTTTACTAATGTTTTCACTTCCATTAGAAAATTAGAAATTATGATTTTATTTTTATGACCTAAGTAAGTCTAATTCACAAATAGACAAATACACAAATAGACAAGATTTTCTTTAGCTAATACTGCTCTATATATAAGAATATTAAATGCAAATAAATAAATATATGACTATTGTGACTATTGTGCATAAAAGGTCTTGTTGAAAATGATGCTGAATAAACTAAACGCTTACATAACAATTTTTTTTTCTATTTTTTATGGCATACGCCGGAAAACGAGCAGATGGATCACCTGATGGTAAGCAATCGCCGTCGCCCATGGACACCTAGAACACCAGAGGCGTTACAAGTGCGTTACCGACCTTTTGGGGATTTAGGGATTGGGGAGATTGGGGAAGGGGATGGAAATTGGACCTCTGGCAACCTCACACTCACCTGACAAATACAACGCAAGCGTTGCTTCACATTGGTTTTCTGTGAGGCTGTGGTATCACTCCGGTCAAGCCGGCCCATTCGTGCCGAAGTGTTGCTCTCCCACACTTAAACAATCTTTTTTTGTTTCTTCCTTTTTTTAAATATTAACGTTACTTTATTTGTAACACCATACTCTTGTATATTGGCATTATTATCATCTAAAGCTATGCTATCAAAGTTCAAATTATAAGTCTTCCAAATATATTTCCATGAAATCTTAGTTTTGATTCCAGCTCTCTTCTGATATAATTCAAAATGTCTCTGAATTGCTTTCTTCAAATCTCTAACCTTCGCGTCTTGGCGTATCTGTAAAATAATACAAATATAAGAATTCCATGTCAGACATTTTTAAAGTGTTATAATTTTATACAAAGTCTTGTGTTTATTCTGGAACAGGTTCCGGTTTGAGTATATCTAGAGATGGAAATATTCATAGATATATTCAACTTTAAATTGTATCAAACGCTGTATAAAAGTAACTGGATTTCAAAATGTTAATAGCTTACAATAACTTTTAAGGTTGGCTCACTTTCTCTTGATATAAAAATTGTGATTGATTGCCCATGTTCTACAGCTATCTGCAATAAAATGATTTATAAATTATATTGTTTAATTTTGGACTAAATTAAAACAGCCGAAAATTAACCTTACTTTTCATTATCAATAATAAATATACATAGTAGGTATACAAATGTTTGAAATATCGAAAAAAAGGTAGAACTTTTTTGTAAAGAGAAGTTACATCTCATCTATTAATAATTTACTAAGGACGAATCTACTTACCTGAGACAAAATTTCTTCAATAATAATATCGTTAGGAAGATCTTTCAAGAACGAGTCTTTACTAAGTAACGTTGCTAGAGAAGATTGCGTGATTTCCAGTAACTCATCGTGTGATAAGGTACTAGCTAAATCTTCTTCACTTTCCATTTTATATACGATAGATCAACATAACTTTTATAACATTTATTTTGTTTGTTTGTTTTTATTTATCAATACAATAAATAGTCTATGGCTTCCAAATTGTCAGATATTAATATGCTGTCAGTTATCGAAACAAGTATGTCGTTCGACTTAAATTCACGTTAGTGTTGATAATCACTAAAAACCGTAAAAATGTTAAGACCCCTAACTGTAGCACCTCTAAGGTCATAGACAATGAAGTCAGTGGGGCTACCATGATTTTAAAAGTGTCCCAATATTGTTGAAGAATCAGAAAATAATACCTGTGAACAATAAGTCACTCAATTAAAAAAATATCGTATTCAGACTATTAGTTACATCAAACTGTTTCATTATTATAAATTATTGTGTATTAAGTTATAGTGCAATACAATAGGCTAATAAGAATACATATGGAATTAAGCCCACCTTTGTATGTGCATACATTATGTATTAATAAAAAAAGTTTAATAAATATAGTGATTATTTTGAGTACAATTCATCCGAATTTTTGGGTTTTTATAAATAAAAATTTTTGTTCCTAAAGTCCATTTCTAAGTATATTTGTTTTTTTGTTTTTTAATTTATGATTTTGTTGTAATTGGACGTTACATAGATTTAGTTTAAGGCCTAGCTATCGCAATGGAGAAACCTGTAATGGTAGTTTAGGTAAGGTTTTTATATAAATAAATAAATAAATAAATATTTTTCGGTAGGAAATTGTTCACAAGTTCCTCTGTATCAACACTGCCCATACTGATAAATGAAAAATAATTCTAATAAAACTGATTACGTAAGCATGTAAAGCTAAAACATTCAATAAAAATAAATTCTTGATAAGTTGCCTATCCAAACCCTTTCAAAACTTTCCGTTTGTATGCACTTATTTATTTTTTATTTTCAGCCATGATAGTCCCACTACAAGGCAAAGGCCTCCCTACCCTCCTTCCACTCCTCTCTACTAAAGCTTTTTGCGATCAATTCTTGTCATAGGCGTCCAACTCGTCCTGCCATCTCCTTTTGGGCCTGCGGCGACGTCTACTGACGTTGCGTGGGCTCCACTCAGTAGCAACTTTTGCCCACTGCTCGTCTGACATGCAGCAGACATGACCAGCCCAGTTCCACTTCAAGCCTGCGGCTTTATGGCCAACATCAGCGATTTTAGTCGTGGAGCTCAGCGTGGTGTTCCTAATTCTGTCCGATAGTCGAACTCCTAAGATACTGCGCTCCATGGCCCGCTGGCAAACCTTGAGTTTGGACTTCTGATGTTTTGTCAAAGACCAAGTTTGAGCGCCATATGTGAGGATGGATAGAATGCACACGTCCATGAGTTTCTGTTTGAGCGCTAATGGAAGATTACCTTTCATTTTTCTTTCATGGGCCAATAGTTATTTTTTCAGGGCGTCTAGCAACTTCTCCATCTTGTCTCGCCTGGAAAGAAACTAGTTGGCACAGATACATAAATTCTTGGACGTGTTCCCTTTCCGCGCCATCTACCTTTAACCTATATTTTATGCTGTTGGTCATTAGTTTGGTCTTCGACATGTTCATTTTTAGTTCAACCTCAAGGCTGGCCCTGCTGAGATCGCCTATCATATTGCCTATCTTGATTGCTGAAGAAGAGAAGAGTACTATGTCATCGGCGAAATGGCTAACTTCTTTTCCCCGATAACCACCCCCCTTGTACTCCAGCACGCCGCAAGCTTTTTGAAGACCTCTTCAAGGGTTGCAGTGAAGAGTTTCGGAGATAGCGGGTCGCCTTGTTTGACTTCCTTAGAAATAGGGAAGGATTGGCCGAGTTTGTGTAGTCTAATTGCTGCGGTAATTTCATGGTAAATATTTTGAAGTACCTAAATTGATATAGGTGGGGTGGTGTGGTGTCTTGGTTGTTTAGTGTTGTGAATATTGATGAATGGGTTAGACTGTCGAAAGCTTTGGAATAATCTATGAACGCTATATATAGATAAAGATTGAATTCGAAATATTTCTCTATAATCTGGTTCAGACTTTCAGAGTATGTAGGTGGTCTGTTGTAGAGAGCCTACCTACTCGGCCGGTTGATGTTGGTCTAATGTGCCAGATATTCTATTTTCTATGACTTTGATGAACACTATATAAATGAAATACTAGACTTATTGGTCGATAGTTTGTCAAATCTGCCTTGTCACCTTTCTTGTGTAAAATTATAATGTTTGAGTGGAAAAAGTTTTTGGGTATTTTTCCGGTTTTTAATCTGGAGTTAAATAAATTGTTGATACGGGGCAATAGAATTGGTTCTCATTTTTTCAATGTTTCTGTGGTAATACCAGCTTCCCCGGGGTTTTGCTGTATTTCATGTTTAGTAAGGCTTGATGGACTTCATAGCCGGTAATAATTGCGATGCTTTCTGAATATGAGTATATATTGTTAGTGTGCGCTTGGGTGTTATCGGCAGCTTAAATGGATTTATAACATTATGTACAAACATTGAAAATCTTTTCTTTATTTGTCTGTTTGTTTTTCCCTTTTCTGTGCCTCTAATTGCGGTTCTAAGGGACTGGTTTTTCTCCAGAGTGGTTTTTATAAGTTGTGTGTTGTAATTACAAATATCTGTGCGGATTTTTCTATTTACTTCTCTATCCTTATATTCTGGAGTATGGATGTTTAGGTTTTGGCGGTCGTCGAATTTTTTAAACTTATTATCTCACCAAGAGCACAACCTCCATAAGAGATGATTATTTAGGTACAAATAGTTGAATAGCTTTTTTATAAAATAGAATTTAAGAAATATTTTTTTCCCAATGTACAATAAGAATGTAATAAAAGTAAACTAATCTATATTTGTCCACCGCTGATAACAGTATATTATTATGTAATAAACACAACACCTAATCGATGTCGTCCGGTAAATATGAGGTACCAAGGGTTAATAATGTTTATGGTGATCGATCAATAAAAAAGCGTATCCCGTACTTACTCAACCATTTGCCAAACGAAGGGAGGAAAATATTAAAAAGTAAAATTTAAAAAGTGTCTGTTTTGCACACTACCATAATTACTCTTACAATACGTACTTAAATTTACTTTTCTACATAGGACGTTATAATAAATTAGCTCATAAAGTGTACCCGCTGTTGGGCTAGGTACCTATGCATAGGTGTCGGAACGTAAATCGTTATTGTCGGACACGGTGAATAGGCCCAAGTGACCTTTTCTTTTTCATTCATTTTATTATGTACTTGGGAAATTTTACGCCCTCTAATGGCAACATAGCTTTTATCTTTCGGTCGTTTTTGCTTTTTGCTCTCGCACTTGCTGTCACTGAGAAATTTGAGGTTATACTGTCATTGACACAAAATTCCGTAAATTGTATCATCCCACGAAATATTAATTAATATATTATAGTCATGGATACATTATCAACTGGTTCGCTCTCAGGAGCACAGAAAGAAGAATTGATGGATCAGGTGAAACAGCAAATTGCCATAGCAAACGCTCAGGAATTACTGACGAAAATGTCAGAAAAATGTTTCAAAAAGTGCATCAATAAACCTGGAACAGCTCTGGACAATTCTGAACAGAAATGTATTGCGATGTGCATGGACAGATATATGGATGCGTGGAACCTGGTGTCCCGAACATACAGCAGTCGTATTCAGCGAGAGAGGAACAACATGTGAAAGTGACCACTTGGGACTCGGGGCTATGGGCCATCGTCACTGTAAATATAGGCGACTTAGTAGTTACAAAGCATTTGAAATTGTGTGTTGCGGCTACCGGTTATGTTAATGTGTTCAATAAAAGTACTTTAGGTTGTTACTTGTTTTTATTGATTCTACTGAGGAAGCATGTGTAACTGAACTGCAGCACTCCTTTACTTGTTATTAGAATGAAGTTTATATCCAACTATTCCTAATAAACTGTTAGAACAAACTATACTTTGTAATAATCACTCCTATTCCTTGAAAATAAGGTTCAATTTTGTTCTTACTTCTTTTAACCATGCTAGCAATACAGCTTAATCTTATGCAATGTTTTTAAACAATGATAATAGGTTTATTTTTAAAATAAAAAGCTCAGAATGTGGGAATCATTATTATAATACCAGTATTAAAATAAATTACACTATTTTTCTTCTCTTACAATTATTCTCCTTTGACCATCTTCTTTCTGTATTGGTAGAGTTGTTGAATCCACATCTCTCTTAATTCTACTTCACTTGGTATTTCCTGAAATCCAATAATATGAAAATTAATTACATACTTGTGCCTGGGCATAGAACATGTAGCTATAATAAGGAGTACAGAATTGGCAAAGCTACAAAGAGCCAGTATTACATAATCACACAGCTTAAGCATACTACACAAAAATAATATTTTTAATGGTGTTCTGCAGCAAAAAGTAAACAGAAAATATAATATAATACATAACATGAAATCACGCCTTTCTATCCCTGGAGGGGTAAGCAGAGGTGCACATTACGGCACTAACCCGTTGAAAATTGTTGAAAATCATCCCCTAAATTCGTTCATACCAAAGTAGTCTCTAAACATTGGAAAAAAGGTCTATACCGCTTAGGGATATACGGGTTAATGCCACTGTACCATGTAATAGTAATATGGGCAGAGCCTATTGCCATATACTGTCCATAATTCCAGACTCCGTGCTACCACTGAGATTTTTTTAAAAGCCCAGTAGTACTTTGCCCGGCCCAGTAATCGAACCTGAGACTCCTTGCAGTCACACTTGTGGGCACTGGGCTAACAAGGCTGTCTATATAATAAATAAAAAGAAAAGCTTATTCACTACATCCTTGTTTTTCACTGCATGATGTGAAATATTTTTCAATTCCTTAGCATGGAGTCTGGAATTGTGCCCGGTATATGACAATAGGCTCACCCCCTATTACATGGGACTCATAAATAGTGAAAAGTGGGTATTATGTTGTACAGTGGCATAATGTGCACCTTGGGGATAAAAGGCATGATGTTACATATGTGTTAATCATCACAATTAAAATTGAAATATGAGAGATGAGAGCATAATCAACTTTCCTATACTACAATATTAATTAGTGTCTCTAATAAGAATAACAAGATACAGACAACATACCAAATGCTATATCATTCTTTTTACCTTGTTGCAAGTCATAAAAATACTGCTTAGTATACTTACATCAAAATCAATAATAGAGTCATCACTAGAAATCTTTATCTCCGCTTCAGGTACAGTAACTGTCTGCGAGTTTAAGTCTATCACAATATTTTGTGTTTGCTTCTTATTCTTTGAAGAAGTAAAAGATTTTTGAACAAACGAGTCACTGTTCAACTCGGCTAGAAGGTTTCTGTCATGTATAGTTGGCATATCCTCCTTGATTTCAACCTCCTTGTACTCGTAAGTGGGAATTTTTGTCATAGTCAATCCTGCAGCGGCTGCAGCTTTGATTGCCTTCTCCAATTTAGTTTCTGTGTCATCTAGGTTCACCTTCTTGGTTTGTGGTAAGCGCTCTGTAATATAGGTATAGGTATTAAGTTTTAACAAAAATAATTGTGTATCGACTTCTTTATAATATTGCCCATGATGATTTGAAAATATTTATATACTTAAAAACATCGTTAGTAAGTAACTATGTAACTAGTAGTAGTGAAATCTTTAACAAAGAAGCTTCTGTACAGAATAAAAAAATTTAATAACACAATGCTTCTTTACAGCAACAATGATAGTGTTGTGTGTGACACCTCGCCCTATAAGTAAGTAGTGTAAGTTAGTTCTTAAGAACTAACTACAGTACTACAGTTATAAAAATATGCTTACCAATATCAAAAGAGCTACTCCGGGCACTCCGACTGCTGGAAGAACGCGACCTCTTTGATTTTTTCTTACTGTACTTAGTTTTACTGCGGCTACTCGACAACGATCGTGAGCGATCCCGCTTCGATCGAGGTCTTGATGAAGATCGTCTTCTAGATTTCGACTCGTATCTATCCCTGGACAGGCTTCTACTGTAACTTCTTCTTTTGTGTCTGGACCTTGAAGTAGACCGTTTTCTTTTATGGCTACTTGATTCCGATCGATCTCTCGATCTTGACCTACGCTTGTGTTTACTTTTTGATCTTTTCCGATCGTAGGATGACTCGGAACTGTATGAAGAACTTCGTCTATCTCTATACCGACTTTTGTCTCGCGGCATAGTCGAAATTCAAACAAATAGCACTTTTTATTTATAAATCATAACCTCAAACAAAATGAAATGACAACTTACTTTGACTTTTGACAAATCACAATAACACGTTTAGTTTGTTCATGATAGTACGTAAATTTCTAAAAATAAATATATTTGATCCATGATTTACCTTTTTTTACAAGAACTTGGTTATACGACAAAATATTCCAATTTTACTTGAAAGAAGAATTAGTTATATGTGTCATATGCGTAGTTTATTTCTAAAGTAAGTTAGAAATCTAAACGGAAAAGATCAGTCAGTATTTCTAAAATTCAAATGAGACAAATAGTACAAAAATGGGCCCATAGATGGCAGATTGGACTTGGATAAAGACGTTTCATTCTACGGCATTTCCAACAATCAAATATTTATAATTTAAAACATTTTATTTAGTGGAATAAAAGAAATCTTAGGTAAAAGGAGTAAAATAACACACTATGGTTATATAAATCATGAACTTACTAGTAATCCTAAAATATTAGCGCTTACAATTCAACCGTTTTCGGGTTTTGATTGACATTTTAAAGTGTATATGCGTATAATGAAACTTCCTGTAGGGCAGCGACCGTCAGTCGGCCTCTCGATGACGGAATGTGTGAAAATTTTTAAGATGGTGATCAACTGTATTTTTCATTTATTAGTAAAAAAAATCAAGTCTGAAGCTTTGTGATTATGTTGAAATGGTTAAAATGTGTTTAAAACAGTGACTGCGCTTGTTAAATCGAGATTAAATAGGTGTAACGGACACAGAGTGCAGTACGTGTTAAGTGCAATCGCTGACATTGTTTCGTTAAAAATTGTTGAGCCCATCGCGATTGTTATGTTTAGTATTCTATTGTGTGCTTTTATAACACCTTGTAAATGGTATAAGAGATTCTGATGTTTCCTAAGTCATGGAGAGGCAGGAGAGATCACATGCCAACATGGAGGCCACTGACTGTGTGGACACAAAACAGGTGAGTCCTACTCAGATAATTGCCGGTTTTTAATAATTTCACCTTTGGCTTACTCATATTGCCTTGGTGCTTGTGAAATTTGCATTGGAATGTTCCAACCAACTGCAGTGAGTTGTATAGTAAAATGTGAAGTTTGGGCAAGCATGTTTTGCACTTGGTAATGTTTTCTGAAGATGTTAAATAGTAAGAATTGTGTATAGATGGTCTAAATGTATGGTTTTGTCAAACTTGGTGGATTTGATAGTGTAGAAGCGTATCAAGGCAAGTAGTGGGCGCTGGAGGTGGCTGCCCACACTAACTGAATAAATTATTGGCATTAGAACATTGTTATGAGCCTTATATGTCATATCACACACAATTATGTATATGTGAGTCTTTGTCTTGCTCCTTTTATATGCTTCTGTCTCGATGTCATTGGAATGTTCTTGAATATTTATATTTTAAGGGTGAACCACCCTTCATGAGAAAGTATACTTAAGCAAAATAAATAGTCCTGCGATACATTTACTTTATCATATCATACATTACAATAATATTGTAAAAACTTTAATAAATTGTGTGATCCAACCTGTATAGTTACGAAACCATGTTTTTGTATTGATATTCCACATGAACAATATAAACTGGATTACACTTTCTAAATTATAAATACATAACAGTTTTTATTGTAAATAGCTATTTAACAATTATTTATAGCCTCTTGCACTTAATTAAGGCCTTGTAATTTACATGATTGTCAAATGAATGTAAAATTTTTGTAATTCTATAAGTTATTAATAATGCAAGGACATTTGTTTGTTTTTAATTATTTTTGTAGCTTTTTGTAACAAATCTTAATTTCGTTTGTGACTCAACTACCAACTCCCAAGTTTATGAGTCACACAAAACATTGATTCAAGTATCATGCACGGTTTTTGCTAGTATTTTTATTTGTGTTGTGACATGATATTATTGTAGACTGATTCTCATTGGAAATTTAGTAGAATATGTGTTAAACTTGACATTGGTTTTGGACATAACTTTTTAAACTGTTCAACATCTACAAAGCATACTTTATCTTGATTTATGATATTTTGGAAATAATTTACATATTTGAAGCTTGTGTAATTCTAATATTACAACTAAGCATAAAGTTTTGTATTTATGATGTAAATGGATCAACCAAAATAATCTTGCATTTTCAAATTGAATTTAGAAAATTTTAGTAATAGTACAGTCTGGACAGACAGGACAGAGTGTTTAGCAGTACCTAAGTAATATCGTCTTCTGTCTCCATATGTCCACAATGTTTGATCAAGTTGTTGTTTACTTCATTTTAACATGTCCTATGGAAAACATGTCTATATTCTTTAGTTAATTTCATTGAAATTGACTTTGTGAAATGGGCCTTTACAGTAAAAAAAATATGTGAAAATTATTTTTTAAGTGTCACCACACCCACCCATTCTGGGAATACCAGAGGTGTAAAAAAAGTACTTCTGTATTGTATCTGGACAGTATATTTCCTCGGTGTTGCATTGTCAATCTCCATAATGTAAGCAAAGAGAAAATGTGTCACATTGCATATTGTGTGCTAAGTCGGTGTTCATGTAATATTCACTGAGACATTCTTTTTGAAAGGTCAACAGTTTTCGCTGGTAAATAACTTGACAAAATTCTAACTGTGAATTTTTGTAAGTAACTTGGGCAGGTAAAATGTTTTTGGATATTGGTTATAAAAGTAATTAACTCGTCGAGTACCGGTTTTATAGACACAATTAAAGAACAATAGGTCGCGGTCACCGGTGACCGCTTGGTGCTTGACAGATTAAGTAAATAAACCTAATTTATTTTTACATAATGTTGGTAGAAGATTCTTGTTCTAATTAGGTATCTAAACGATAAAACCTTCTAAACTTGGCACTCCAAATTCACAAAACCACCTTTTTTATTTGTAATCTATCCAATAGAGTTTACTGTTGCAATTTGAGATTCAGATGCTTTACAGATTGTTTACTTGAATTATAATGTTATTGGTATTACTTAAGTACCTAGTTACTTCACTGAATTTGGTCCTAGCGGTTCTTATAGACTCATTTACATAGTTCTTACAGTCTTACCATAAATTTTAAAAAATAATAACAAATTGTGTGTTTGACATTTCGATTTACTACTTGGTCTTGTCATTTATTTTTATAAGATATGGACTAAGTAATACTTTGTAAAAGTACTCAACAAAGTTTTATCATACAGTATATCTGATAAACCAAAATAGAATAAGATTGAAAAAAATATACAGAACTTTGAAAATACCTTAAGCTTAGGACGGAAGTGCAAACAAAACTAGCGCGCTTATCTAAGTTTGTCCGAAGTTGTCGGCTCGGTTTGTGGTAGGGGTCGCGAGCGCGGCGCTGAGTTGGGCGTGCAGTTGAAACGCGTCGCGCGCGCAGGTCGCCGTGCGCGCGTTACCCGCGAACTTATCGAACACGCCCGCGCGAGTGATGTCACAAGGAGAACCAGTGGTTACTGTGCTGTGATTGTGAATTAACTATGGTAGCCATGGTGGCATCAGCGTCTGGATATGGCACCCTCGCCGTTTTCTCAGCGTGCCCGAGGGACAGCACTCTGTTGCTGAAGCAGGGGTCGGAACCAGCAACTCCGTCGCCGTCTCGGTAAGATCACAGCTCGGTTGTTAGGAACAGTTAAGCATAAAGATGAATGATAACGTTATGCGTTTGGAATGCCGCCGTTAATGAGTTGTTGATGCGTTATACTTTATCGAAGTGTGACTGTAATCTACTACAATCCGCGCGATGAATCGATGCCATTGATAAGTTAGTTTGCGATATGATATGACCTATGCATTAAATGTAATACTTGTTAGTTAATCAGTACGCGGTAAAGAGTCTTCTTCAACAGTTTAATTGACATACCTACCTAAATGTCAGAAACTCCTCAAGGACATTTTGCAGATTTGCCGATAATTTCGGATTAAACTGTCAGTAGTAATGAATGGCAATGTGCAGAAAATTGGCGGATTGACAGTAATTTTCAAAAAAATAAAGCACTAGAAAGTTTCGCTCAACAAGTTCCATTAGAACGTATACGTGCGTATTAAAATTACTAGACTAGTGCAAAAATACCTACTCTAGTGTTCGTGAGTGGATAACGAAATCTTTATTATTACTAGACCGTTTCTCATTGACCAGTATTGCTTTAGTTCGGCTCTACGGTATTACCAAAATCTCGAAACTGGTTCAGCACACCACATTAAGGCAGCTAAAAAAAGAATCCGGACAAATCCATCAGTCTACTACTGTCTGTGAGCGTCCACGGTGGGGTCATCAACCTTACTTTCCTTTTTATTATTCCGCTGTGTAATATTAGCATCGATCGAAAATCCGGCCTTGGCCTCACACGGACCATTAGAACAATTCTTTCGATGATGATGTCACCCTGATCTGTCGGGGTATATGCGGGATACGGCCAAGGTTAGGCCAACAGACCGTGGCTGTATCTCTAGCGGATCACGGCTCGTTGCTCACCATCCGCGAAAGGAGCACATCACTCACTGGCGATGGCTGGTTATCGAGCCACATCAGATACCGCTTACTCGCTTTTTACCTTATGCGAATTAATTTGAATCGTGTCCACTTCATGTAGCAAATTGGTACAATAAACGTTTTACATAGTTAAAAACGCACAAGACGAGACGACAATTGAAGACTCGCAATTCTAGAAAAATACTGAGTGAGTTCAGCTGTGACTTGTATGTTTTCCGCATCGGTAAGTAATCTCGATTACAGAGCCGTTGATCCAACCGTCCTTCCTCCCTTGTACTTTCTTCAGTATTAGTCTGCACCGGTGCGTAGAGAAAACGGCACAAATCAAATACGATCGCCGTGATAATAACACAGTCAATGGAAATGGAGAGTACCTGGTAATTCACCACGATTGTTCCAAGCGGTTTCCTTTCCCACCCGCTAGTTTTTTTCAAACTCCGATAAAACAAATTTGAATAAGCTATTGATGTTGTTGTCTGACTTTCGCCTTATATTTTAAGAGAAACGTAACGTAAAATTGCAATGGAACTGATCCGCATCGAGGAATTATGAAAAACATTTATTTCACGCTTAAATAATGAGAATGAATCGTTTTATCTGTTGCACATAAAACTGGTTGGACCACATCGTGGAAGTAGCTTTTGGAATGCTCATTTTATTCATCGTACCTAAACGAGGCTAACAAGTTTACTTAAGGAATCTAATTAAAGTTGTCGAGATGACGAAAAAATTCTCACAACCATAACGAAAATCTTGGGAAAACAGCTTTGTAAGAACATGAAATGCCATTTATATTATTGAAACACGTTCTGGTTTAATGCCACTCGAACTTTTATGTATCCCAAACCTCTTAGTGGTAGTATTTAGCACAGTTAGTTAGTAGAGACAGCCGGACATGTTGCGACACGGCACATTGTGGTGCCACCTCTTGGTGCATGCTTCCGCCCACGACTCGCTTATATGGCGTGGACCTTGTTACGGTTGCCATACGTAGAAACATCCACACGACTGGATTTTGCAATGTTGTCGTTTGTGTCGCCTTGTCCGGAAGGTTGTAATTAGTTAAATTCCTTCATCTTCAGCTGGTTCGAGTTCATATCATAATTACTTGATGCATTCTTAATTGATCAGTAAGTACCTGGTAACCTTTTGTTGCTACTATGTTTCTGAGTATTGTGAATGGGGACACGCAGTTGTATTCTCATGCAAATTCAGAAATTCTTAATAGCTAAATTAGGTAGCACAGTGGAGTAACTTTAACTGCCATTTTAAACATTATGCAAGATAGAAGCTCTACAAACAAAACTTATTACCCACGCCTAATGAAACTAATACTTTCAAATATGATCAAAGTGAAATGGATGGATAAAATAAATCTTAAGCAGTCACAATTGAAGGCGGACGTCGATCAAAGATTAGAACGGCTCTTAAAGCAAGTGTATGGTTGGCTGCGATGAT